TTTTGTTCTAGTTTAACTCCTGAGAGATAGGGAACCTGATGTTAGTAAGTGCTCAGACGAGCTAGGTTTTTGTTTATAGGGATTTGTGTTATATTTATGTTTTCATTTGTTGCTGTCTCCTGTGTGGACTTACAAATAAAGTGCCAGGAGTATATGAAAATAAAAGGACTGTGCCTGTTGTTTACCCTAGAGGACCGTGCTATCTGCAAACAAGGATCACACCCTTCACACATACCTTGCACCCCTCACACATTCTCTGCACCATCACACATACCCTGCACATCCCTCACACACACACCATGCACCCCCTCACACACACGCACACTGCATCCCTCACACATATCATATTGATTTTTATTTCTGGTTGACAGCGGTCCGCAAGATATTTCTCCTATTTTTGCCAGGATGCGGTTGTTAAAAGATTCCAGAACACTGGTATAAATAACACAAGAAGAATACAGCAACATACACACCTCAATTTAAAAAAATAGGACCAGCAGGCTAAGGGCCATCACAATCATATTTCATCACAGTGCTGCTAAAAGGTTGCCTACCCCTGGTCTAGGAGAACAGAGCGGTAGCCAATCCTCCTGCAGACTGTAAAACTTGCAGTAGGGTCACAGCCTGGCAGCAGGACTTTCTTTGAGAGGAAGAAATGTGACAAAAAGGGACTTTAATATGTCACATGGCACAAAAGCAAGAGGCAGAGCCTCCCCCTCCAGCTGGGACCACAAACAGATTGTGTTACTGTTGTGGTTTAAATTCAGCAGACAGCAATGTTTTCTCTCAGGTCTGAAGACAAGGAATGGACACAGCAGAAATACGAGCTCGGAGGGCAGTACTCATTCACACAAGTGTATGGCAGAATACTACACCTAATTTTAATGGGGAAGACACAGATCTTATAACAAAATTCTATACACATCCAAAAAGGGGTTGTCTTCACATAATACAGTCATGTCCTGTCAATTGCATATTAAAAGAACTTAAAGCACATTTGGCATTAGCTGGTCAAAAGGTGTTACTCGATTACACAAACACTTCCCAACAAGGTGTTATCAGGATATGCAGTGCAGGGGGGGAAACAAGAAGAAGATACAAATCAGGATCAAAGGCCAGCTGTTATAATAGAGCATCCTGACATTACTAAATCTACTGTGTAGTGTGACACAGGATATAAGGGGAAAGGTGCTCATTAATCCATATCATTCCAATCTTTTATTCTGAAAGAATAACAAATCAGTAAATTAATTAATTGTCTATTATAGCACTCAGGGAAGAAAAAAAACTTCAGAACCGTTATTTCTGAAGAAAATCTCCGGGGAGCCATGGCTATAATAAGACCGTCCCTCCCTCCTGGACGAATTAAGGTTTATTAAACAATTAGTTAAATTTAGGGCTTGGTATAAATTCTTTACAGATCCAATAAAATGATTGTCTGTTTCCCATGATGAAGAAGATAAAGCCTGCTTAGAGTGAAATATATTAATAACAAATTTTACTATCACTGTTCTTTGGGATCAAATAATATTAATCAGCGCATAACCAAGTCCCATGGAAAAAAGAATAATTAGGGTGCACCGAGCACTATTGTTCATTCTGGATCAGTCTGAGGTTGATCTTCTTTGCTTGGAATATCCAGAGTGCTTGATGGGACATCTTTTTAATCTGCTTGCATGATTCCATATCTGGTTCTCCTCGGTCAGAACGGCTCTTCTGGTGATGGCAACAACGGTTGTCAGAGGGCTGTACGTTGGATCAAAGGTTCCGGATTTGAAGAGGGATTTCACCAAGACTTTGTCTCCAGGCCTGAAAGGATGTGTGGTTGTACCTGAAGGATGAGGAAGAGATAGAGACAAATCACCATAGATGCCATTCAATGTGTCTACAAGGTTCAATACATATAACACAACATTTAGGTCTCCGCTCACCATCGGAGCACCTTTGGACTTACACCGTGAAGTTGGAAAAGGTCTCCCCATTAAAATTTCAAATGGTGAATAACCCGTAGTGGAACTAGGGGTCATTCTGATCTCAGCTAAAACTGCTGGCAAATTGTCTGGCCAATTGCGTGTGCTACCCAAGTCTCCTTTTGTCAATTTCTCCTTGATCGTTCTATTCATCTTTTCTACTTGCCCTGATGACTGAGGGTGATAGGGTATATGAAATTTCCAATCTATACTCAACATTTTACAAACCTGCTGTGTAACTGCTGAAGTGAACGAAGTTTATTTATCACTATTAATCATAAATGGACAACCAAAACATGTCTACAATACAAGTAAATAATTGAGTCCACCTTTTGCCGTTGTCATATGCATGAAGTCAGTTTGTAAAATTAACATTGGACCTTAAACTGGAGGTAACTGTGGTTTGGTAGTACATGTTAAGCACCTGGATAAAAATATTGGTAACTGTCTGATCTAACCTGTTAATTACAAATAGTTTACTTAGCTTAGCCAATACCCCTCTTCGTCCGACATGTCCATAACATGGAACTGTCGGACGAGTAACACAGAAAAAACTTGAGGGATTGCTATGCAACCTTTATGATCCTTGAGGATACCAGAACTTGCATCAGGTGTAACAGAATGTTTATTCCAGTAAGCTAAGTCATCCGAAGATGATGCAGCCTGCATAGAAAGAATATCAGTATCATCAGTATCATCAGTATGAGTGGCTATATGCAGTTAAGACCTGGTCAAAAGAAACAGTACTGTAATCTCTCCATAAAGGAAAAGAGGCAGCTGCCCTTTTCGCCACCAAATCTGCAAAATCATTACCATCCCTGACCATGGAGTGATCTGTATCATGGCCCTTGCACTTCACAATAGCTAAAGATCTAGGTAACAGTATGGCCCTCAATAATCCATCAATTAATGCAAAATGAGAAACAGTTCGACCATCAGCTGCAACAAAGCCTCTAGCCTGCCAAATGACACCAAAATCATGAACCACTCCAAAGGCATATCTCAAATCAGTATAAATAGTCACATCTTGATCTTTAAAAGCAATACAAGCTTGTGTAAGAGCAATCAACTCCACCTGCGCTGAGACGAAAGGTTAAGAACCTGCAGCTATTACACTATTAGGTATTTGTACAACTGCAAAACCACAAAGGAAAATAAACCAATAACTGATTTAAAAATTCTGACACAAAATCTTGCTCAGCCCAAAATACACAGAACCAACCTACATCAGTACCAGGTCTATCATATTTAGTGTCCAAATTAAGAGCCATTTCTGTTGGTGAAATTTCAGCATATTTAAAAACAACAGACAATAAAAAAACAAAAATCTGCCCCTCCAAACTGTTGATCCATTGTTACTCTTTTTAAATAATTAATAGCGCCTTCTGGAAGCTTAAACGGATCAGGACACTGAGTCCTAAGAGACACCAAATGTGATCCATAGGGAGGCTTAATTATAACAGTCTCACCAGCAACTACAAAAGGATAGGCAGAAGCAGACACATGACTGGGAACTAGTACACCATGACTCTTATAACCCTCATCCACCACTAAAACACTATGAACATGCTTATTCCCTGCACCAACATCCACAGACGTTCTAGTCACTTTCTTATTTTTTTTTTTTCATACCAACATCAACATTTTCTGCAGTGGATCTCACCATTGCAGAAGGATTCACAACCATCTATCCAACATGCCTTTTCCCTCTACCAATCGCCATAAAAGTTTCATCAGTATCAATATTCCGAAAAATCTTTTTTTAATTCATCCAAACTGGGATATAATGGTACAACAAAAAGCACATAAGCAGGTGATGCTGCAGAAGCCTGAACATACTTTGTAGTCTGATCAGGAACAAACCATAACTGAGAATACTTTAACCATCCTGTAGCTGCATTATGCATATACTTTTTATCCCATTTTGGATCTCCACCTGGACCCCACTTTTTAAAACCTTTAATACACATACCTTTCAGCATTTGCAAATGAAAATCACTAAAAGAACCCTCTCTTGGCCATGGATTACAAATCATTGTATCAAAATTCTCTGATCATGCAACTAAATTTGTACAAAATGGCTCAGCATAGTAATTTCCAATAGTTTCTTGAACAAAATGGCATGGAGTTTGGCCTAATCGAGGACCCTGAGACTTGACTTGGGGAGTACGTGACGCAGCACTATTAGGGACATCTTTAGATGATTTAAATTTTACAGAATTTTGTTGGGAATTATTATTATTATTATTTTTTTTTTATTTATTTATTTTTTTTTACCATTACTGGAGCCCATTTCCAACTTCACACAGATAACACTTTACAATATATAACACTTTATATATAAGCAATGCACACTTTTTTAAAACAATACAACTATACATGCAGCGCTGCAATAAACAAAAATAAGATTTATTCTACTGTGTCCAAACCGTGCATTCAATATAGTGACTAAAAGTGGTCACTCAGTGGGACTGCTATACCCACTATATACAACTTACCGGTAAGATGGGACTCTAACCCATAAAATATAAATGTTTCTCTTATACAACTTAACATGGGACTCTAACCCAAACTTAACATGGGACTCTAACCCAAACTTAATATGGGACTCTAACCCAAACATAACATGGGACTCTAACCCAAACTTAACATGGGATTCTAACCCAAACTTTATATGGGACTCTAACCCAAACTTTATCATGGGACTCTAACCCATACTTATCATGGGACTCTAACCCATATTTATCATGGGACTCTAACCCATACTTATCATGGGACTCTAACCCATATTTATCATGGGACTCTAACCCATATTTATCATGGGACTCTAACCCATACTTATCATGGGACTCTAACCCATATTTATCATGGGACTCTAACCCATATTTATCATGGGACTCTAACCCATATTTATAACAAAAACAAAAAAAGAAAGGCAAAACAAAAACAAGAAAACATTACTTTTCTGCAACCACAAAATTTTGTTCAGAGAATCCAAACAGGGCAAAGAACACAAAAATAAAACACAAAATGTTCTTACCCGATTTGGATTCTCTCTCCACTTCTGACACCATATTGTTGTGGTTTAAATTCAGCAGACAGCAATGTTTTCTCTCAGGTATGAAGACAAGGAATGGACACAGCAGAAATACGAGCTCGGAGGGCAGTACTCATTCACACAAATGTATGGCAGAATACTACACCTAATTTTAATGGGGAGAACACAGATCTTATAACAAAATTCTATACACATCCAAAAGGGGTTGTCTTCACATAATACAGTCATGTCCTGTCAATTGCATATTAAAAGAACTTAAAGCACATTTGGCATTAGCTGGTCAAAAGGTGTTACTCGATTACACAAACACTTCCCAACAAGGTGTTATCAGGATATGCAGTGCAGGGGGGGAAACAAGAAGAAGATACAAATCAGGATCAAAGGCCAGCTGTTATAATAGAGCATCCTGACATTACTAAATCTACTGTGTAGTGTGACACAGGATATAAGGGGAAAGGTGCTCATTAATCCATATCAGTTACAGTCTGTGATGCTGAGATATCTGCCTATCCGATCTAGATATGCTATTGTTGTCTAGGTGGACTTGCAGATGAGGGAAGGGTAGTGTAGAGATAATGGCGTAGTTTGTATATACCGATGGCAGTGAAAATTAAAGTGCAGTTGCTGTTGCAGCTTCATGTCTCTTGCTGTGTTGTAACTATCCACTGTCTGCTAATGTGCAATCACTTAATATAGCGATCAGCTGTGTAAGTTAACACAAGTACCCACAGACGATAACAGGCCTTGACCTTCGGTAGCAGAGAGGCAAGGGCCATATCATCACAGGAACATTCGACATTAACACTAAATGTTGATTCTGCAATCTTTGCAGGACCTCATCTGGGAAGTCCCTCGAGTAGCTGTCTGAGGGATAGCCACTAGAAGTGACATTGGGCAGCAATGTAAACACTACCTTTTTTTATTCACTGTTGCCCATGGGGACCAAATATATTTCAAGTAAAGACTGCACACATCCTATGATATAATTATTCCAAATAATATACTGGTGCCCAGGCTCAAGGGATGGCAAACCCCCTTAATACTTCCGAATGCAGAGAGAGTATTGTAAGGACATGACATTTTGGCTGATAAGGACTTGACTTCAAAAAGGCTGTCCATATCAGCCGCAACATTGTCATGATTTGCTTATTCTAATAAAACGTTTGCAGAATGATGGAATCTGCTTTCCTGGACTCACTCTGCATTTGGAAGTTGCTATTGGAGAGACTTTCAGTTGGTAAACAGTCACTAAGATAAGGAACAGATACGTTAGTGACTAATGACTGGTTAGTAACATTTACTAACAACATTGGAAACAATCCATATATATCTCAAATTTGGCTAATCTTTAAATATTCACCCAAACGATTTTTGTAAATATTTCATGTCAAAAATTTTGAGATTGTTCCTTTGCTCCAGCATTACTAAAATTTGATTTACTAAAAGAGAAGGCAGTGAAGAAAAAGAAAGAATGACACAAAACAGGAGATGGATTAATATAGTTAGTGCATTTAAGATATTTGGGTAGATTTTACTGCTGCTGCTACAACTACTGCTCCTACTACTACTATAGGTGGTAGGAGAAACTGATTAATCTTGATTTTTCTGTTTTTATCCACAGGACCCATAAATATTACCATATCGAAAAATGTGTCATATGAGCTCATTATTTCAGAAAATCCAAATGTGAAAAGTGGTGGACACTGGGAACCACACAATTGTACTGCTCGACAAAAACTTGCCATCATAATTCCTTTTCGCAATCGTGAACCCCATCTTAAAATTTGGTTGTACTATATGCATCCATTCCTACAACGTCAGCAAGCAGTTTATGCTGTATATGTGATTGAACAGGTAAGACGCTAATTGTGTCTGCTTTCTCTTAGCTGCTCAGGCCAAATGACTGAAGAGTTTGGTGGGTTACCAGAATAAGGAACTAAATGAAACCATACTTTGCTTTGATATGTTCGACAACTCCTTCTTTTTCTTGTGCTGCATTTTGTTAATAATATTTTTATCAGTAAAATAGTATGTATGGTGAAATGGAAAAATCAATCAATATATTGATTATTTCTTTGTGTATCTGCCCCTGGCCAAATCAATGAATCAATGCATGCACGCTCCCTGAAGTAATTCACACCAGACACAGGTTCCAGGTTGTTGAATTGAATAACTTGAGGAATGTTTATTCAGAGGGGACGGCAGGTCCCTTTTAAAGCAAAATTACATCATAAGCATTGTCAGAGATAACATCAAATAATACATCAATAATTGGTTAGGTGTTAAGTGGTCGCTCTAATGCTCTGCCTACTGTAGGTGATGTCACCGGGGGGATAAGGGGGTCTCCCACGGTTTCCCGGCGCCATCTTGCTGCACGAGGTAGTTAGTTGGTGTTAAGAAGGGAAGGGGGGGGAAGGAGGGGTTAGAAGCTTCTAGCAGCCATTTTGATTAAAACATGTGTGCTTAGCTTTATATATGATATGAGTAAATAGACATTTTCACTAACTAGGAAATATGTGCAGACCTTATTTCCACAACAGTCCCCCCTAAAATGGCTATTTACCATAACAACTGCTACTGTCCCTAATATGTCCCTAGCTGCCTGCAGCTCATCTGTCTTAACAAGCATCGAACACTTCACTCCGTGGGTAACCCGCAGCGGCTAGTCCACCACATCTCCACACGTGAGACTCGCCTGCTAAGACAGACGCTTTCCCTACACTGTCCCTACAGGAAAGCAGTCGTCTGTTTGAACTGATGTGATTGAAGGGGTGTATGTGGAGTGTCATCTTCGAGGTCTGTGATGTCCTGATGTAGGAAAGTAGGGGTCACGTCATCTATAGTCTTATCTACCGCTTTCTGTAAGTACTTCTGTATGCAAGGGAGCATGCAACAGGTTAAAAATAAGAAGATGATAATCATTATAAGAACAGCTGTCCCTACCTGGAAGAGGGTCCTTTGCCAACCATTCATCCACCCAAACCATCTGTCCCAAGTGTCAGTGACTCCTGAATTTTTCTTTAGTTCATCTGAAAGACTATCTAGCTTTTCTATGGCCATAGTCACCTTACCATTTGGCCCAGTGTTGTCTGGAATGTATGTGCAACATGTCATAGTCTCAGGGAGGATTTTACATACTCCCCCTTTTTCAGCTAAAATCATATCTAGGGCCATTCTGTTCTGAAATGTCATTTGGGTAGTGGCTTGTAGCTGTTCTGCTAGGCCCTGTAGGGCATCCCTTGTGTAGTTAACGAAGCGCTGCTGATTATAATAGATGTAGTTGATCCAATTGACATTTTTGTTAGCAGTTATCATTGGAATTAAGGATTCAAATCCTGCAGCCACTTCATCTCTTGCTTTGAATTCGTTAGGCACCCCCCTTGGCACACCTATGGCATCAATATACACATGGGGGTCGAAGCTCCCTCGGATAGGAGCCTCTCGTTTGGTTCTAGAGTGTACATGTGTAAGGTTTAATGTGTTATGACTACCATCTGGAATAATGTGGATAGGCATTATGACTTTGGTTAGGGCACACTCCCCCCACCATTGCCCAGCTAATTGGGACCTCAATTGTTTGTCACCACATAACCAATAGATATCACCGATTGTCTTTGTGTGGTTCATTAGCAGTGATACTGGTGGATTATGGTAAATTGAGCAGTATCCTGATGGGAATTTGCCCAGATACTAACCAGCGTTCTTAGGCATTGTATAACATGTGTAATTACCTGGGTAGACGGTGACTCCATCAGGTGGTTTTACATGTCCATGAGTGATTGGGTAAATTCTCTTCCATGATTCACATGTTGAGGAGTTTGTGGTGGATTGTGCATAAAGACTCAGAACACATAATTCTACTTCAGGAGGTAAGCTCAGAGGTACTGTGCCCAGATGGGGCCTGGCTCCTCCACATACATAACAGTTAGTCTTATTATGTGAGTTGGCGTTATACCTCATCCATTCTAGCCACAAATTAGTGTCTGAAAACCCAGTCTCTACTGCCATGGTATCTTCAAAGGTGGGGTTGGCTATAGCTACCATGTCATGTAGGGTCTTAATATGTGGTTTTAATGGGTTAATGATCATGTGAGTGGTCCCTACCCAGTCTGGGGAGGTGAGCATGTCTTGTAGGTAAAATGTCCCCAGTGCATTATGTGAGCCACCTCCCTTCCAGTACATTCCCATCACATATTCCCCTGCATCCCTTGGGCTGGGGTGTTCTATATTCAGGGTAAGTTTAATGGGAGTTGACCCTATGGGTTTACTCAGAGTCATCCTAGAAAGTAGGGGTTTCCCGTCTTTGTCAAGTCTGTCCAGTGCAACTTGAGGTTTGTAGCCCCATGGTCTACCTGTATTCCACCCGGCAGCTTTCCATGAACTACAATGGTGTCCCCAAACTCCTCCAGTCACACAAATGTATGGATCCTTTTTGTTAGGTATGTCTTTGTATATGGCTGCATATTGTGTTTGTGGAAATGTACAAGTAACTATGTCACAGTAATCAAAGGTGTATGTGGCTACATCAGTATTGGAAGAATTGTACCAGAAAGTGTAAACGTGATTATCTTTGGTTATGGCCACTTGTTGGGCCCAGGCAAAGTGTAGCAACATAAGAAAACACAAGACACATAATAAATTCATATTTCAACAGGATCAGCCTCTTCTGGAGCAGGCACTTTTTTGCAATGTGATGCGTGTATCCAAGAACTCTTCCCAGCTAGTTTAACTGATGTTGCTGTAATCAGGAGCACTTGATAAGGACCATCAAATCTCGGTTCTAGGGTGTGTTTCCTGAGAAACTTCTTGACCATAACCCAATCACCCGGAAGCAGCTTGTGTGTACCTGTATTCGACTCAGGATCTGGAATAGAAGAAAACACTTGGGCATGTATCTTGGTCAAGGCATGTGAGAGGGCAGTCACATAGTCTACCATAGCATCTGACTGAATCTGAAGCTGTTGGGGAAAGTAGCAACCTAACCAGGGTGCTGTACCAAACAAAATCTCATAAGGTGACAAGCTATATTTTCCTCTGGGAGTGTACCTTACACTAAACAACGCTAGTGGGAGACTCTCGGGCCAGGGCATGTTAGTTTCTTGTGACATCTTAAGCATTCTGGGTTTCAAAGTGCCATTCATGCGTTCTACCTTACCGCTACTCTGTGGGTGATATGGTGTGTGGAATGCAAGGGTCACCCCCAGTGCTGACCAGACTTCCCGTGTTAGCGAGGCAGTGAAGGAGGTCCCTTGGTCACTTTCAATTACTTCTGGAACTCCATAGCGGCAAACAATTTCTGTCAAAAGATACTTGGCTGTAGTCCTCGCGGTGAGATTAGTCACTGGGAAGGCCTCTGGCCATCCTGAAAACATGTCCACTATGACCAATGCATATTCATAACGTCCAATCTTTGGCATCTGAATGTGATCAATCTGGATCCTCTCGAAGGGGTATTGTGGTTTAGCTAGGTGATTAGGTGCGGTCTTTATAATCTTTCCAGGCTTGCATTTAGCACATATAGTACAAGATTTACAGTAATTCTGTGTTAAGGTAGTGATGCCTGGTGCTTCAAAATACTTGTCAATCAATGAGTTCATCAGATGTTTTGATAGGTGGGCTGGCCCATGGGCCCATTGGACCACCGCTGGATACATATTTCTGGGTAGGCAAAACTTGAGATTGATAGTGTAAACATCATCACGGAGTACAGCGCCTTTGTTCTTCCAACTTTGTTTCTCCTGGGGAGTAGCAGCAGCTTGTTGTTCCTTCAGAAGCCTAAGATCTGTAGGCAGTGTTTGCATAGTGTAGATGGGTAATGTATCTGTGGCCACTCTTCTGTCCACTTCCCATCCTTGCCGTGCTGCTTCCTTAGCTGCCTGATCAGCTAAGTGGTTGCCACGTGCTTCTTCTGTGTCTAGTCTTCCGTGGGCTTTCACTTTCAGTACTGCCACCTCTGCTGGAAGTTCCAATGCATCCATTAGTTCTGCAATGGCTACCCCATGTTTTACTGGGGTACCGGTAGCTGTAAGAAATCCTCTGGTCTTCCAAATTAAGCCAAAATCATGTGCTACTCCCAGGGCATATCTTGAATCCATGTAAATATTGACACGTAGACCTTCAGACAATTTGCAGGCCACAGTCAGAGCTGTTAGCTCGGCTTCTTGAGCAGACTTAGTTGGTTGTAGGGCAGCTGCTTGTAATACTTGACATCCTGTGGTGACTGCATATCCAGTGTGATATTGTCCCTGTTCATCAGCAAATCTTGACCCATCCACAAATAGTGTTTGGTCCGGGTTGAGTAATGCAGCTTCATAGACAGTTGGTAGGTGTGTAGTTTCCATTTTCATTTGTTCAAAACAATCATGAGGAATATCTAGGTCACAGTCTGTGGTGAGTGGGTCTTCACGGGCTTCTGTGTGGTACCTTGGGTACCCTGCTGTACAGTAATTAATAGTCTTTTTGTTGATCCCCGTAGAAGTCAGTTGTTCTTGGTTCATTTGGCTCCAGGTTTTGGCCATCGGGCCTAGGTCTTTCCATGAGGTGTCCGGGGATCTGGTGAGAGATATGTGTGGGATGGCTGTTTCCCAATGATGATAGAGATGTGTTACATTCTCTGGAAGATGGACTAAGATGAGCATGGTACCTGTGGGGTCCCAGAATAAGTCAGTCAGGGTAATTTGAATTTCTTTGAGCTGGAATAGTTCTTCCTCATAGTTCATATCAGGGCCTGGTACGTCCTTAAACCACAAGGTACAGTGAAGTAGGGCCTCTGATTGTTCATCATGTGGGGGTGCACGTGCAGGCAGCTGCAAATCTGCTCGAACCTCTGGGTTGATATCCAGGCTATACCAGTAATGCACAACTCCCCCCTTGGGAAGTGGCAGAAGAGTGGCTGGGTTCAGGGAAAGACATCTCTGGAGTTTCACATTGTCAGGTAGAAGTAAGGAGGTTTGTAGACGGAGGTGACGTTGGGAGGAAAGGTGTTTAGGTTGAACTTGTTGCAGGATTGCAGTAATGTCATGAGGGGCCAACACTGTGAGGTGATGGCCAAGAACAAAATCATTGGTCTTGTCTAGGAGGGCGCTGGCGGCAAACACCGCTCTGAGGCAAGAGGGGCTACCCCTCGCAACAGGGTCAAGCATGCAGGAAAAATAGCCAATAGGTCGTTGCCTTGACCCATGTTTCTGGGTAAGGACTCCGGAAGCATGTCCTGACTTTTCAGAGACAAACAAATTGAAAGGAAGTTGGTAGTTGGGTAGGCCCAAGGCAGGTGCAGAAGCAATACAAATTATAATACACCATGGCCTGCTCTGTTCCTTTAACTTATCTGCTGAGTGCTGGTGGAGAGTTATAAAAAATAGCCCTCCTACCCCCAACTCACAAAATTATAAATTATCCCATTCACTATATGGCCAAACAAAGATGATGTCCAAATTCCTACTCCTTATGTTACTTGCCCTTGCAAATGATGTGGAGTCTAACCCTGGTCCCCCAGCTAATTCTAGTCCTAATGTCCCCACTAAAAAAGGCCTCTCTTTTGTGCACTGCAACATCCGTAGTTTACTCCCTAAACTGGATGCACTGCAAGCCTGGTGTTCCCATTACAAACCAAAAATCATTGTGCTCTCAGAATCATGGTTAACGGCTAAAATACCAGACACCGCCATTGCAATACAGGGTTATTCATGTTTTAGAAATGACAGAGCAAAGAGAGGAGGAGGCATTGTTATTTATGTTGACAATTCCATAAAGTTTACAAAACCTTAGTCCTCCTGCCATCTTTGATTTCCTTTCTGTCAAAATTGAGATCCCTTGCAGTAAATCAATCATTGTTGCAGGAATCTACCGCCCACCTAGCTCCCCTGTGCATTCCCTATCTGACATAGCCCATCTCCTTAGTGAAACCATAGCTCAAAACCCAAAAAGTGAACTGTTGGTCTTCGGAGATTTTAATATTGATTGGCTGAACCCTAAAAATAATAGTTCTTGCACGCTGTTTAAGACTTTGCAGCTAACGCAATTAATCTCCTCCCCAACTCGCATAAACATAAAAAGCCATAACCATACCCTGCTAGATTGGATTCTCTCCACTTCTCCTGATAAAATCCAGGAGGCTGGTGTTCTCCCAAACACGTTCAGTGATCACTGTTTAGTGTACTGCGTGCGCAAAATAAAGGCTATTAAATCCTCTCCCAAGGTTAAAATAACGAGGTCCTTCAAAAGATTTAATCTTGAATCCTTTTTAAATGACATCAAGAATCTCCCATGGCACAGATTAAACATTATCCCAGATCTAGACTGTGCTGTTGAATACTTTCAGTCTGAACTCCTACAAATTTGGAATTTGCATGCCCCGCTGCATAAGGTGAGGGTAAAAGGAGCGCATATGAACTGGATCACAGCTGACCTCATCCAAATGTACCAGTTTAGGGATTCTTTGTGGTCAAAATTTAAGCGTACTGGCTCTATGAATGATCACAGTGCATATAGACAATGGCGAAATATATGCACAAAACAGACAAAACTGGCCAAGGCCCAATATTTCTATGAAAATCTGAACAGTAACATCTCAAACCCTAGAAACTTTTGGAAAGTCATAAATAAACTACAAACTCCCCCGATCCACTCCCAACCCTCCACTGTCAAAGTGGGTAACCAAACCCTGCAACTTCCCTTAGATGTAGCAAATGCCTTTAACAATTATTTTGTCGGATGCTCTACTGCCCTGATTGCCAAGCTAATAAATGACACGCATCCTGAAACTACAAATGTGGATCAGGCCCACTAAATTTGCAAAGGCCCAATATAGATAAGTTTAATTTTAGACCTGTACCTGTTAGTGTCATTAAAAAACATCTTAATAATCTAAAAATGAAAAACCAGTCCGGACCTGATCAAATCCCAGCAATGCTGTTGAAGCTCAGTGCGCCGGCAATTGCTAAACCCGTCTCAACTCTAATTAACGAATCATTGGTGTCTGGATACATACCCAAACTTTGGAAGACTGCGAGAGTAGTGCCTATCCATAAAAGTGGTGACACTACTTTGGTTTCTAACTATCGCCCAATATCATTGCTCCCTGTATTGTCAAAAATCTTAGAAAAATGTGTCCATACGCAACTTTGTGAGTACTACCAACAATTAAACTATCTGACCCCTGATCAATCGGGCTTTCGCCAGAATCACTCCACTACAACTGCCCTCCTAAAAGTTTGCAATGACATCCAAACTGGCATGGAACAAGGAGCCCTAACTGGAGTTATTTTCCTTGATTTTGCTAAGGCCTTTGACACAGTAGACCACGACATTCTACTGCACAAACTCGAAAACTCAGGTATTGGTGATCATTCTTTAAACTGGTTTTGATCGTATGTATCGGATCGCTCGCAATATGTGTCCATTTCTGACAGTGACTCCCTCCCTCTCCCAGTCACGTGTGGTGTTCCCCAGGGTTCCATTCTCTATTTACATTATTTATAAATGATCTGCCTAATGTCTGCCAATCCTCAAATGTACACATGTACGCAGACGACACGGTAATCTATGCGAGCAAATCCAATCTACCTCAACTTGAGGTTTTGCTCCAAGACCAGTTTACAGAGGTAGAAAAGTGGATCGCAAAAAACAAACTCTTCCTGAACACTGACAAAACTGTCACAATGATCTTTGGAACGGTACCTAAATTACACAAATTACACAATCCCCACCTATCCATCAAAACAAATTCAAATGGCACACTGACCGCGGTCCACTCTTTCAAATACTTGGGTATGATGTTAGACCCCAATCTATCTTTTGGCCTGCACATAGAAAAGATTGCATCTAAACTTTATCCAAAATTAGGTGCCCTGTACAGAAACAAAGCCTGCCTAAGCCCTACAGTAAAGGAAAAGATTGTACAGCAAATGCTGATGCCAATCATTGATTATGGGGATGTAGTATATGCGTCTGCATCGCAATCCCACATTAATAAACTCAACACATTGTATAACTCGTTCTGCAGATTTGTGCTACAATGTAATTACAGGACCCATCATTGTGACATGCTAAAGGAACTAAACTGGCTGTCGCTGGAATCCAGACGCACCCTTCATCTTTCCAGCCTTGTTTTTAAGAGCTTTTCTGGTAAACTCACACCCTACCTGAACAAAATGCTTTCCCCAGCTGTTCCCACTTTCTATAACCTCCGATCCAGTACAAGCACTTTACTTAGTCTACCTCAATACAAAAAGAAAGCGGCCCGATCCTCCTTCTCCTACAGAGCACCGCAATTGTGGAACGACCTCCCGCACAATTTAAAATCTTCCCTAAGCCTAAAGTCTTTTAAGAGATCCCTCTCTACATACCTCAAAACAGAATGCACGTGTCATGGTTGATTATATATTTCCTGCCTGTTCTATGTTAAATTTTGTATATATTGTGTATTAATATTGTTTTTGTATTTTGTTGTACCTAATGTAACAATGCAATGATTTGTGGACCCAGGACATACTTGAAAACGAGAGAAATCTCAATGTATCTTTCCTGGTAAAATATTTTATAAATAAATAAATAAATAAATAAATAATAGCTCTTTTCAGATTGTGGAAACAGGTGATAGTTTCTTCAGTGAGGTGAAAGGGCTCACTCCTGAGGGCATCATAGAGTGGCTGCATGAGCTTTGATGCTTCGGGTATCCAGGACCTGCAGTATGTGATAAGACCCAAAAAGGCATGAAGAGTCTGATGTGTCGCAGGTAAAGGGAGTTGCAGAATAGCTTGCACACGTTGAGAAGTTAGATGTTTGGTGCCATGGGAAAGGCAATGTCCCAAGAAGACCACAGAAGGCCGGCACCATTGTAGCTTTGATTTTGAAGCTTTGCAACCGGCTGCAGCGAGGAAACATAGGAGATCTTCTGAGTCACGCTCTGCAATGGGCAAATCAGGAGCACAGAGAAGGAGATCATCAACATATTGAAGCAGGACAACATCCAAATGAGATTTCTGCCAGGGATCCAGAACCAGAGACATGGCATGAGCAAACTGTGTGGGGGAATTCTGAGCCCCCTGAGGCATAACTGTCCAGGTATATTGTTGTCCTTCATGGGTGAAGGCGAAGAGAAAGCGGCAGGAAGGGTCAAGGGGCACACTGAAAAAGGCATTAGCTAGATCCACTACAGTGAATATTGTGGAAGTTGGTGGGACTTGGGACAAGAGGGTGTGTGGGTTTGGAACAATAGCAGTGTCTTTTATGGTTACTTCATTAACAGCACGGAGGTCCTGCACCATTCGGTACTGGTCGGGTTGACCCTTAACAGTTCGCTTTTTAACAGGGAAAAGTGGTGTGTTACATGGAGATGTGCACTTGATAAGGGCACCTTTGGCAAGTAGGCTTTCAACTTGTTTAGTGATGGCTTCAGCTTGTGCTGGCTTCAGAGGATACTGTGGTCTACGAGGAGGTAGTGCTCCAGGCAGGAGCTGGACCAAGACTGGGGGTACATGCAAGCGCCCAATATCATCCGGGCCGGTGGACCAAAGTTCTTGGGGGATACGATCCAGAGCACTGGGGGTGTGTGAGACCCGTGCATTCCCTGTATTGTCAGTTAGGTTCAACAAGATGGGGAGTGAACAGAGGACAGAGGTGTCTTTTTGTGATAAGGGGGTTGTCAACTCAACTTGACCATCTGCAGTAAAGGTAATAGATGCCTGGAGCCAAGAGAGAACATCAGCACCTAGGAGGTTAATGGGGCAAGTAGAGGAAACAACAAACTGGGAGAGGATGTGTGATCCTACATGTAGGAGCTTAGTAAGGGGGTTACTGCGTGGTGTACCATCCACCCCAACACAGGAGACATCGGTGTCAGATAAGAAGGAAGGATCTGGCAGGTCTTGTTCCCTGAGGACACTACGGGCTGCACCTGTGTCAACTAGAAAGGTGGTTGGATGACCCTCCACGGGGAGAACTACAGTAGCTAAAGGCCCTCCCCCATCCCCCGCAGACACTGCCATGGCAGGGGTTGCTGACACAGGCTTGCCAGTTACCTATTGTAATAAATCTAGATGGGCCTGGTCTGGTCCCTGGTACCGGCGGGAAGTGGAAGGAGGGTTACTAGAATGCATGGGAGGACGGGATGGACGGTTAGCGTGGCGGGGCTGTGGCTGACTGTCTTGGAAATCATCGTTGTCATACCCTTCAGCGGAGGGCGAAGTGTATGCACGAGCTTCTGATGCAGGGAGCCGGGCTTGGGTGTATTCAGGAGGAGGAGGAGGAGGAGGTGGAGTAAGTTGAGGCAACTGTGGATGGGGCAGGGCAGGGAGGTAACCAGTGGAGGGGAAGTTATAGCTGGTGACATGGGGACTTGGATACCGGGGAGTCTGTTGGCGGATCACTCTAGGGTGTGGGCAATCTCTTCTAAAGTGACCTGGCTGATTACAATTAAAACAGGTCCGGATTGTCGTGATAGTCCGGTCCCGGGAGAAGGGAATTGGTGCAGGCAGTGTCTGGGGTGACTGAGTGTACTGTTGGGGGAGTAACTGAGGAACTTGGTTAGAACCTGCAATTGGTGTGGAGGTAGTGTACATCAGAGGACTAGTTCTTCGCTGTGTGGGTTGCAAAACAGATTCTAAGCCTTTGGCTACCAGCAAAAGAGTGTCTAGTGGAATAATTCTGTACTCTGGGCGAGCCAAAATTAACCCCTTATGAATGTGTTCCCTAAGGCCTGCCACAAAAGCTGCAGATAGCATCTGGGTGTGTGCTTTGTTATAGGTGCTGAACCCTAAGTCTGAGAAAGTCTGAGTCAACCTAGAGTGATACTTTTCAACTGTCTCAAGTTTATCCTGAATTATGTCATTTATGCAAGTAGCCTGATCAGCTAGTTTATCCTGTGCCCAGGCTCGGAGCTGTTCACAGAAAATTTCACCAGAACGAAAATCAGTATCAGAAGTAAGTGGAGCGTCGTTAAAGCTCCGTTCCATGATTGGCCAGTATGCATCTCCAGCCTTTATTTCACACAAACTAATCCCGCCAAGCAGCGGAGTATATTTTACGGATCTGGGCCATCCTGCGGAAAAAGGGCATGGGGTGTTTCTCAGGATCAGGGAGTGAGGTTACAAGGGTAGCAGCTTGGGAAGGGTTGAAGGTGCACCATCCGCTCCATGGTTAATCTGGGTATAACCCTGGGGGATAGAGTGCCGTTGGGGGAGCCTGTTCCCCCCTAGGCGAGGTGAACCCTGGTCCACCACAACGACCTCCTCGGGTGCCACCGGGCCACGATGAAGGGTAGTCTCAGGAGTAGCTGTGGCGGGGGCGGCAGGGAGGCCGGTGATGGGAGAGGTAGTTGGGTGGAAACCTGAGGCCTGGGGGGAAGCACCCATTGCATAGGGTTGGTCCGATGTCACAGACACCTCGGACCCAACCACCATGATTGGATAACTAGGACTGGCGGAAGAGGAATCAATGCCGTGGAAGGGGCTGCTATGGGGGCCGGTTGAGATGGGCGTGAGAGGTGAGTGTTTAGGACATGAGCAAGAGCAGAGATTGGATCGGAAGGCTCGGGGATGTTAGCGGGAGACAAGGAAGGGGTCGGAGGTTCGGGGGGAGGAGGTGGAGGAGGGGGTGGTAAATCAGTGGGAGGCGGCACATGGATCGCGGAATTAACCAGGGAGGTAACAGCAGAGAAGAGGGCGGATATCGAGCTAGACAGGTCATTGGCCATGGATGGGTCAGGGGTCACCGGGGAGGGGTCGGAAGGATAGGAACAGGGGGCTGTGTCGTAACAACGTGGGTGGAGGGTTGGGATGGCAAACCAGTCGGGGGAGGAGGAGGCAACGAGGTAGAGGGGGCTGGGACTTCGGGATGAGGTAACACTGGAGAAGGGGTTGGAGGGGTGGTAACAGGGGGTTGGGTCAGGGCGGTGAGGGCAGAGATTAGAGATTAGGGATCGGCCGTGGGAGGGAGGGGGGGAGGAGGAGGCAACGAGGTAGAGGGGGCCGGGACTTCGGGAGGAGGTAACACTGGAGAAGGGGATGGAGAGGTGGTAACAGGGGGTTGGGTCAGGGCGGTGAGGGCAGAGATTAGGGACGGCAAATCGGCCGGGGGAGGAGGAGGCAACGAGGTAGAGGGGGCCGGGACTTCGGGAGGAGGTAACAATGTGTGGATAGCGGGAGGGTCCTGGAGGATGGGAGGGGTGTCTGGGAGTGTTGAGAGTGAAGCAGAAAGGGCGGCTACTATTGTTGCAAGATTAACGGGGGGGGAGGAGGCAGAGGGAGGGCCAACTGTGGTGGTACATAAGGGAGCAGAGGCAAGGGGACCGGGATCAACGGGCTGGACAATATTCATGAGAGTGGAGAGTAGGGATGAGGGATCCTTGGAGGAGGAAGGCGAAGGGGAATGAGAAGGAGAGAAGGGCAGAGAGGGTGAAGGGGTAGGGGTCACGGGACAGGTCACTTTCGAAAGGTTAGCGAGGAAAGGTCTAGGTCCAGGGGTATGGGAGAAGGAGGGTCCGTGGGGGGAAAGGGGTCCGGAGGAACGGGGTTGGTGGAATGGGCAAGGGTCGGGGGAGTTGAGTGTGTAATAGTCGAGGGGGGTGAGGGAGTGGGTGTTGCTAGGGATGGGGTACTCGAGGTGGAGAGGGAATGAGAGGAGGAAGAGGAGGGAACTTCGGTGGGTGAGGCGGGAGTAGTTAGGACGGGATCTTGACGAGGATTCAGAGTGAGAACAGGCACTGGGAGAGGTAGCGGAGGACATGGAGGTGGGGGTACTTCAACAGACATGACGGGAGAATGGTTGATGGAGGGGGCTGGGTCATAGGAGGGTTGGTGCATGGGAGTGGGTGGGAACGAGTGAAGTGGCACTGGGTAGTAGTAAGCACCATCCGCACCGAGTACGGGGCACAGGGGGGTGGGAGCTGAAGGCACACCCCCGGGGGGTGGGGTCTGTGCTGTGACGGGGGAAGCAGGGCGGGAATTTACTGTTGCGCTCTGGGCGCCATCATAAGGCGGTGGCCGCGGGACAATGGAAACAACATCATCATTGTTAACACTCCTATGGTAAACATACACGATTTGCCCCTCAAACTCCAACTCTTCCTCGACCCATCCTTCCCGTTTCAGACCTCTAGCTACCCGATACCAAGCCTCTGCAACCTTTGTGAGTCCATTATCCAACAACAACCCTTCCTTGTCTATGAGTAACTTCCTCCAAAACTCAGGCTGCAATCTCCCACGGGGCGACATCTGGAAGCCACACACCTTAGCAATCTTTCTAAGTTTCAACATTGCATCTTCCCCTGCCCTTTCTTTCACAATGTCACAAGCCAGCAAGCCCTTAGCAGGTCTAGCATGTTCCTGCCCCATCTTGAGTAATCGAAGCGAGCCACGTGCTAAAGACAGATAAATAGAGGAGGTACAAGGGAGAAGGAAAAAGAATGTCTACAGTGCTCGACTGCCACGAGGACTTGAGCCCCGTGCATCTTCCCCAAACGTAGACCAGTCACGGAGATCCGCCCACCCGGGGTGGTGGTCACGGACGGGAGCGAGTGAGCGTGGGTGACTAACACAGCTCTGGGCAACAGGCACAGGAGAGATAAAGAACAAAGGAGAAAATGAACGTGGCTGCGCTAATGAGAAGACATTTGCAAAAATCACAAACATATAAATGAGCGTAAACTCCGGAATCCAGAACTAACCACACAATACACACACACACACCAAGGGTACCCACACTGTAACAACAATTAAACAAAAACCACAGAATGATAGAGAGTAAAATGGCCATGTACATGTTAACACAACTGGTGCCAAATATTCAAAGTATAGCAATCCCCAGCCGTCACCCACCAGGCTGGTCCCGGTATAACACAGGTACCAATAAAAACACTGCAATAATCAAACAAAATCCCAGCCCCACCGGCTGTAATGCGTTCCCTGCCCGCTAGGCAGTCAAGCTAACATAAAATCCAAGCCCCACCGGCTGTAATGCGTTCCCTGCCCGCTAGGCAGTCAAGCTAACATAAAATCCCAGCCCCACCGGCTGTAATGCGTTCCCTGCCCGCTAGGCAGTCAAGCTAACATAAAATCCCAGCCCCACCGGCTGTAATGCGTTCCCTGCCCGCTAGGCAGTCAAGCTAACATAAATCCCAGCCCCACCGGCTGTAATGCGTTCCCTGCCCGCTAGGCAGTCAAGCTAACATATAAAATGCGTTCCCTGCCCGCTAGGCAGTCAAGCTAACATATAAAATGCGTTCCCTGCCCGCTAGGCAGTCAAGCTAACATATAAAATGCGTTCCCTGCCCGCTAGGCAGTCAAGCTAACATATAAAATGCGTTCCCTGCCCGCTAGGCAGTCAAGCTAACTAACATCTTTTAAAAGAAGGAAAAACACACACACACATATAAATGAATACAGGAGGCAGATAGACAATCGACAGGTTCACTTTAAAAAGGCACACCGGATGAGTTAGTTACCTGTCTCTAGTAGCCTTCTGGAAGCCGGAAGTGGACTCGGAGACAGACCGACACAAAACAGGAGAATAACACAGGCAACGGCTGTATTATGGAGGTGATCAGGCTCCGCTTGTCCCACTTTCCGGAGGTCCGCTCCGGTCCGTTGGTTCCGGCCCTCCGAACCGGCCCTCCGGTGGCCCCACGTTGGGCGCCAATTGAAATGGAAAAATCAATCAATATATTGATTATTTCTTTGTGTATCTGCCCCTGGCCAAATCAATGAAACAATGCGTGCACGCTCCCTGAAGTAATTCACACCAGACACAGGTTCCAGGTTGTTGAATAACTTGAGGAATGTTTATTCAGAGGGGACGGCAGGTCCCTTTTAAAGCAAAATTACATCATAAGCATTGTCAGAGATAACATGGAATAATACATCAATAATTGGTTAGGTGTTAAGTGGTCGCTCTAATGCTCTGCCTACTGTAGGTGATGTCACCGGGGCCATGAGGGTCTCCCACGGTTTCCCGGCGCCATCTTGCTGCACGAGGTAGTTAGTTGGTGTTAAGAAGGGAAGGGGGGGGAAGGAGGGGTTAAAAGCATCTAGCAGCCATTTTGATTAACACATGTGTGCTTAGCTTTATATATGATATGAGTAAATAGACATTTTCACTAACTAGGAAATATGTGCAGACCTTATTTCCACAACATATGGTACTTGTAATTTATTTTCTTAAATATTGTAAATGCCTTACGGATGCATTTTATATTTGGCAAAACGTACTAGTTACTGCGTGCAGGTGTTTCAGCCTCACTCATTGCTAACAGGGGCAAACTATTCAGTGTGTAGTCATGAAATGTCCATTAATAAACATTTGTAGTACGGTAGATCGTATTAAAGATCTCAGAGACCTTAAACACAGTACTGTCATAAGAGGTCACCTTTTCCACAAGCCTAGCCCATTAAATTTCTGCCCTGCTAGATCTTTATCAGTCAACTGTAAGCTCTGTTGTAACGTTGAACATAAATGGCCCAATCTCAAAGTAGTAGACTATGCTTGCAGAACAGGGAGTGCGAAAGCCTATATAGAAAAAAAGATTGCTAATTTCTGTTGCGCCACTCATTATAGAGTTCCAAACTGCTTCTGCAAACAACAAAAAAACTACAACAAAAGAACTGTGTTTCTGGAGCGTCAGGAAATAGGTTTTCATAGCTGTACACTAGACTGACATCATCATTCATAATGACAAGCATCGACTGGAATGGTGTAAAATATGCCACCATTGCCATTTAAAATAGTGGAAATGTTCTCTGGCATATATCTGTTTCATTATCTGACGTTCTGATGGAAGAATCTGGGTATGGCAGTTGCCAAGAAAAGTCTACCGACCAGAATGAATGATGCCCACTGTCGAGTGTGGTGGAGAAGGGATAATGGTCTTGGACTGTTTTTCAGGGTTTGGGCTAGACCCTAAGTTTCAGTGAAGGTCATCATATTTGTTTTTCTATTATTATTTTTTTTTTTTAGCTAAATGTGTAGGGAAACATTATTAATGATAACTACTGTGCTAAATACATTTATATAAATGTATTTTTAGTATTTCCAAATATTACACCCAACAAACATATACTTTTTCAGTCATTAATCAGCAATAATTATATTTTTTTTTTTCATACTAGTCTAAGATATTGTCAGTTGCCCTCATGTGGCTGAAATTCAAATTGCAGGTTACAGGAGTAAAATTGCATTCACCTAATATTTCATTTGCATATACCAAATTTTAAGGTCAGGTTCATTTTCCTCCCCAATTTTTTAACTATCAATGATTTGAATGCCAAAAGAATATGAATAACCAGGTTTCTATTCGACAGGGGTATTTCCTTTATTCCCATATGGAGAAGAGCCATGTCTATATCCATATGAAGTTTCATCCCTAAAAAGGATGAAATTATGGAGAAAATATTTTCCCGTTTGGCTTTAATTTTAGTGCAATTCCTCCATATATGAGTATATGAATCCTCCTCCTTTTCCTAATGTTATCCTCTGCTGTTCTTCCCTGTATAAAACCTGATTCATCCTTATGAATCAGTTTATAAATGACTTATTTTAATCTATCCACAAGGATCGATGAGTAGATCTATACATTGACATTAATTAGGAAATTTGTCTATAGTTTTCTTATCTGAGTATTGTCCTTTTCTTGTTTCAATATTGGTGTAATATTTCCTTTTGTTATTTCGCTTGGTATTTCTTTTTCGTGTACAATTTCATTAAAAAGGTTCTAATAAATGCAGCGTTAATTCTTCATGAAATATTTTATAAAAATTGTTTGGAAAACCATCAGGCCCAGTGGCTTTATTTAGTTTTAATTAATGTATAGCCTGATTTAGGGGTATACCTAGAGCATTTTGCACCCGGGGCAGATCCTGTGTGTGCCCCCCCCCCCCGCTTCCAAATGTAAAAAACACTTGCACATTTTTCAAAATGTTTTTCTTTTTTATAATGTACTGCACAAATTTGTAAACATTGTCAAACCTTTCTGTTTGCTCTTACAAAACCCCTTTCCTGCCCCCCTTCTACAAAATCCCTGCACCCCTACACACACACAGTTACAGGCAGACAGTCACACACACACATAGTCACATGCAGATAGTCACATATACAGTCACACACACAGTCTCAGGCAGACCGTCACACACACATAGTCACATATACAGTCACAGACAGACAGTCACATATACAGTCAAAAGCAGACAGTCACAGGCAGTCACACACACACACAGTTACAGACAGACAGTCACACACACAGTTACAGGTAGTCTCACACACACACACACACACAGTTCAAGGAAGACAGTCAGACACACACACACACACACACACACAGTGACAGACAGACACACACACACACACACACAGTTACAGGCAGTCACACAAGCACTCACATGCAGACAATCACACACACACACACACACACACTGTCTCTCTTATTTACTTACAGACAGTATTGGCTGGAGGAGAAGTGGGTTCTCTGAGGTCCCTCCCCGAAGTCTGTTAATTGGGGAAACAGGGACTCTGCTTCACCTCCATGTGCAGCAGTAATAGCAGCAGATGCGGCCCGTGTAAAGCTCCGCCCCTGCCCCAAATTGGCTCTGCCCAAGCCGCCGAATTGGCTCTGCCCCAGCCGCCGTATTGGCTCCGCCCCACTTTACTTCCGTGCGGACGGTTTTGAAGTGGCTGCATTGCTGGTCTCTGCTTGTGTGAGCTGTGTTGGCTGCCCGGCGCCCCATATGCCAACCTGTGCCGCCACACAGCTCACACATGTTTGGACCTGGTCATGACACCCCCTACCTGGTGGCACCCTGGCGGACCGCCCCCCCCTCGCCCCACTCTTAGTACGCCACTTGCCTGATTATTTTCTTGGAGAGAGATAGGAGCATTTGACATTAGGTTGTCTCTCTCATCTAATTTCATCAGGTTTAGGATACTAAAATATTTTAGACAATTTGGAGCCTTCAACTTTATGGCAACATTTTTGGGAAAGTCTATTCTTGTTACAGCATTTAAATCTATATTTCTACATATGTTTTAGAATTGGATATAAAACATGTGAGAATGTAAGACTTGTGCAGAGCGAAAAATGTTGGTTATTCTGAAACACTTTGTTAATGAATAAAATTCGGGGAAAGCAATTCGGGCAGCCAAAACAGTAAAAATGTTCTTACATACAAAAACAGCTACAATATTTCCTGGCCTAATGGCCCCACAATAACAGTTGTTTTTGCAACGTGTACACAAACTTGGATTATATATCTGGCATAACAAAAATATGAAATTAGAGAACTTTTTATAATGATTAATGATGAAGAATCCTTAAGCTATCTTTTATTATGAAGAATGGGAAGGAGGGCTTAGTTTAAGTTTGAAAAATTTGATTTTTTTCAAAAATGAAAGGAAAATGTCAGTGGGCAATTGACCACCCCTTTCACCCTGACAATTACAAAGCATTCCCACACTTTCAGTATGTATTGCCAGTGGCCATCCTGTGTGGGAAATAAACAGTCCCTATTAGCTTATTAGCTGTGGAGGGAACAGGCACCGCAAGACTAAATAGGATGTGCCTTTTTTTCAGATGGGATGTGTTGTGATGCAAGTATGGCATGGAGGGCGTTCATTCTCCTCCCTATAAGTAGATTGCTCTCCCACTCAGTGTTAATGTGTTCCTTGTTAACACAAGTTGTCCTCTTTTGCTCCTGCTTTATATATGTATTGTCTACCAGGCATTTGACTTTTGCCCTGATTTCTGTGCTGCCCACTTGCTACCCTGACTATGCCTTTGTCTCATCCTTGCCTCAATTTCCACTCAGCTTTCTAACACATACTAGGTTCTGTCTACTAAATCCTTGACACCACCAGTACCACCACCACAAACACATTTTTAAATTTTTTTTTTTTTTTAAACAAGGCATTAGAAAAAGACTGGTATATCACTGAAAGAAGAAACTTAAAATCTCCAAAGCGCAAGCAGTGGCACAGAAGCACACTGCAAATTAAATAATTTGTCTCTTTTCATTTTTAATTCACCAGATGATGGACTGTTTCTGTCCAATCTGTCTCTGTCAACTACTGGGACAATCCTCACCATTCTCCCTGCTCTGCTGAAGGGTAGCAGTAGTAGGCTATGACAACTGCACAGAATCAGATACAGAACCAGTGGACCTGCTTCCTGCTCTAGTACTTTCATGCTATGATTCTTCAGTAATACAGACTTGTGGTATCTTTGTAGATGTTGCTTCATACAAGCACTAGTGATATGGCTCTTCACTCATACCTACTCACCTTATTGCCGCACAACTTACACTTTGCAAGTCGGCCTTTTTGGATGCCCTCAATGTGAGTCCAGACTTTGCTATGTTAGTGTGATACATTATCCCCCACTCTTTGCCTTGTGAGTGGAAACTGTCGCAACAACACTAGCCTGTACACTAGCACTTGATTGTGTCCCTAGTGTCTCAGGGTCCCCATGTTCCCCAGTGTCCCTATGTCTCCCAGTGTCCCCAAGTCTCTCAGGCTCGGAGCTGCTGTCTGGACTTTCTCTGCAGAGCTGCTCCCCCGTGGATCAGTGAGTAGAGAGAGGCAGTGAGGGAGATGCTGTAACTTCTTATCCCTGCCTCTGTCCACACAAACTGCGACTCCTACTGGCCGGTGCTCGTATTGCAGAATAATCTTTGTTTATACTGAGACAGACATTTGTATTGCCGGTATTACTGCAATACCGGCACCGGCTAGGCAGCCTCAAATACCTGAGAAATACTTCTGAAATATACCTGGCAACCATAAGAAATACATGAGAAATACCTGGCAACCCTAAGAGTAGTGTGTATGTTTTTTTTTTTTTTTTAAATCAATGGCCCTATTCCATGGGCCTGGGCCTGGAGCTGCAGATCCCTATGTTAATCCGGCCCTGGTTGCAGCTAATGTCACAAATGTTTCTGTTTCTGAATGAGGTGATTCTAAAGCAGATACAGAAGGACTTGGAGATCATGAAAGATGTAAGAGGCAGGTGCACACTAGTTCTTGGAGAAAATTATGAGCTGCAGCCTGTCCTCTCGACACTTCACTCTTCTAATTCTTCTGGCTCATCATACTCCTAGTCGAGTAGTTCCTGGGCCAGAGGTAAAAGTGCTATATCTGCAGTGGTGTGGAAAACAGAATTCTTATCCCTGGAGTCATCACCGCCACCAACAAGAAGACTTTGGGGATACTACTTTAGTATTCTGCACTAATCTGCATGAAAGAGTGGCTCTGATGACCACCATAAAGCTGAATTTTAGCTACTTCTTTGGAGGGCACCCAGAAGGTATAACTCTTGAACTAGCTGTGGCAAAAGGAGCTTCAGTACCAGTAAAATCAGCAGCCCAAATTGTTGCAGCATAAAAACATTTGGTGGTGGTGGCAAGGGAGACAGCGATGGTGGAGCTATCATTAGTTCTCATGGCACTACTGCTGGACCCCTGCTCTCCCTTAATATTATTTTGGGATTAGTATGATACATTGAATGCAATGAGTTTGTTTTCCATATTACAATAAATTAGGTATATGAATGTGTATTGTGTTGCAGAATGGGTTGGCTTGACAGATTTACTGCTGTGACATTATTGTGATTCACATTAAGTCACACTACACAGTGCTTGCACACTTTCTTTCTCCAAACATTTAACAAAAAAACAAAACCTTTTTAACTGTATATTGAAAACCTACAGTGTTATTTACTAATGTGCAAATTGTTGGAAAACTCAAAGTGAATTTGGAGTATTTACCCATTTTAGTTCTTTTTGCCTTAAATTCGGAATTCACTTTGAATCCCTTTGGTATTTAAACTTGCTTGTCTCACACTAGCAACAATGACAAAATAGCAATCTATTATCTCTACCTAGTGATTAGACACCTAGCGATTGGACAAGAGGTGCAACCCACATCATTGGGGAGACCTTTTATCCATCATGGCGAATTAAATTGCTTATTTGTCTTCATTTAAAAAAAAAAAAAAAGAGTTGGTTCCTCTGAAATTCTGGCACATGGCATTTCAGAAATGAAAATTACTACAGCCCAAAGCTAATCTCCAAATCTAAAATATAACGGATTATATTTTTCTCTACAATATGATACTATTGTGTGATTTCACATGACACAATGACATCATCTGCAATAACAGAAATCGTTCGCATTTTTTTTTTTAAATGTATTTATTGGGTTACATAAAGTGTCAAACACCTTTTCACTTTGAAAAGAAAACATTTATCTCTGTTTTTATTACCTTTTTTATTGTTCTCAATTTATTTTTGTGATTGTGATGTCATCATTATGCAACATAGGTGTTTTGCACACATTACATTAGTTTTTACATGTCCTTGATTGACATTTGCACAAGGCAATGCTTTTGATAGTATGTTTTGTAATTTGAATGCCCTATAAATATGGTTACTTAGCATGATACATTTTCTTTTTGAGCCAAAATGTTGTTTTATGCTGTCCAATAAATCTACCATTGGACCTCCTGTGCCCAGTCCTATTTTTTGTTCTCAAAATGATACACAGACATTGACAGATACAGACATACAACCATAGCTTGTGGCAGTTTATTGGTATCTGTGTATGCATATCTGGTATTGTATATCTATGTATATGTCTGAGAGTATGTGTGCCACCAAGTGGTTCTAGACTCCTTAAGACAATAACATAATAGACCACAAATTGTATAGACTATACATTGTATTATATTCCTCTATGCTTAGGCCAAGGGTTCTTTAATTTTAGGGCAGGATGGGAACATCATATGATTTGCAGGAAGTTATACTTTGTGCCAGCATCGGTGATTTGCAGTACACATACACCTATAGAGCTGAATCCTCTTTGTAGAGTAATGGTTTTACTCTGTTTACTGAATAGCAAATGACACAATTGTTAAATTAAAATTCTAAAAATGCTCTAAAACACAATTTTTACAATTAAAGCCATAATTCACTCCTTGCTACATTTGTTATATAACTTCCAAAAAAGAAGTGACAACAAGGAGTAGTAAGTGAATCTATTTTGAGTTATAATTTCATTAGCTAGATTACTTATGTAGAAATGATTAAAAGCAAAACCATAAAAAATGTGTTGTTTCTAATTTTTCCTATTTTTAAAGGAAATTAAAAAAGATAAACAAGCAAACAGGTGCTAAAATACGCAAATACAGATGTAAATCAATATGCAAATAAAAAGGTAAAGCAGCACCTTAAAGTGCACAAGCTCAAGACACACCCTATAGATACATAGAAAAAAGAAAAAAGGTGCGCTGTACCTTTAAAATGTAAAGTGCAAACAAGTGCAAATCAAGTGTCAAAAGTGCAAAAAAAGTGCATAAAATATGTAAACAACTTCAGCATACACAATATGTGCAAAAGTTGCAAGTGGATATTGTGAAAACTAATACAAGAATGACTTACAGAGGAAAATATCCTTGGTGCTCCATATGTAAATTAGGACACATGGTACATATAAAAGATGCACAAAGGGAGAGACATTGTATAATACTGTTTAAAAAATGATAGAACCAAAACCAAAGATAAGAATGTAACTCACAAAAGAAGAGCAGTAAAAGCCTGCTCTAACTTATCCAGCCTGTAGTCCACAACCCAGGACTCAATGATGATAGAAACAGCAGGACCCCAGCTGAATGAAAAGATGAATAAACTTTATTTCTTACAGTAAAACAATGGTCTCCGTTCCCACATAGAAGTCCAATGGTCCTATTCAATGTTCTTTAAAAGGTTTCTGTCAGCAAACTCAGTCACTTTCGGCACTGTAGGATGTACTTCCTGGTATTCGGAGTTTCGTCCGGTCACGTGGTAACGTGATGATGCGTTTCGCCGAATCGGCTTCCTCAGATCACATCTCATTGCTGCTGGTCCTGACTTTTAAAGCCCAGGCTGTGGGCGTAATGTTCGCTGATTATTCAGATGATATGGGCATAATAATCATTAATTATTGAAATGACCCCTCGTAGTCATATTCAAATCCACAGTCACAACGGGGGTTTATCTCCTAAATGTCCTTTTCATAAAAACCATAATACAAAAACAAAACACAAATGCAGTGCCAAAGATGCATCAGATAACATCTAAATATATAGCCAAATAACATATATTGATAATTCACAATATAAATGCCAAAAGAAGAGTAAGTATATTATATATGCATTCCTAATTTACAGCACTCTTAATTCATAATAAAGACCCTATATAGAGTTACAAACCATACTATATTAAACATAAAAGTCTAAAATGGTGTCATACCCCCATATTACTAAATTCATTAAATAAAATGAAATAAAAAAGATGAACCTACTAAAAGGGAGAAAAAAACAGGAATATTAGTATCTTAACACATATACCTTGTATAAAACCACTAAAATCACTAGAAGTTACATAGAAATAGTGCCAGAAAAACAAAAAAATATAAAAGATAAAAAATCTATAAAAATGAAGACATTAAAAGTATTACAAAAATATAAAAAATTATACAAATCAAATTCGATATTAAGACCCTTAGGTGCAAGGGTTTCTAATGTATGAACCCATTTCATTTCCTCTTGCCCCAGGTTTTGAATGAAATTACCTCCTCGCCATGATTTTCTTATTATTTGTATGCCTAAAAATGTAAGGCCTCTGGAGTCTTTATTATGGTGTTTTTTAAAAGGGGCAGATACACTATGGTGGTCAAGACCTTTCCGAATATTGTTAATGTGTTCATAGATTCTTTTATGTAAGGGGCGGATGGTCCTGCCCACATATTGAAACCCACATGGACATATTAAAACATAAATAATATTTTTTGTAAAACAAGTGGTAAAATCTTTAATGGTGTGCTCTTCCATATTATATTTACTCCTAAATTTACTAATTCCTTTTAAGGTACTGTTTCTACTGCACTTACACCCCACACATTTACCGCATGAATAAAAGCCTTTTTTGTTACCACTTAGAAACGTTTTAGGCACTTCTTTCCTAGGGTGATTAAAGGTTAAGATTTGCTTTAAATTGAGTGCACCCCTAAATGTAATAAACGGTTTGTCTGGGATAATCGCCGATAACTCTTAATCTTTTTTTAGAAGGTGCCAATGTCTATTGATAATAGATTATATTTTTCTAAAATTTTGATTATAATCCAGAACCAAGGGTAATTTGTCTAGTTTATCCTGTCCGCTACTATTATTCCTTTGTTTAAAAAACAATTCATCTTGATCAAATTCCTTTACTTCATCATAGGCTCTATCTAATATGTTAGTAGGGTATTGTTTTTGAGAGAATTTGTTTATCACCATTTTTGTCTGTTCCGCAAATCTCTCTTTATCAGTACAATTCCTTCTTTGCAGTTGTCCTATAGGGATATTATTTAACCACGGGGTGTAGTGCTCACTATTATATAAAACATAACTATTAGCGTCAACTTTAAAAAAAAAAAAGATATTTGTCGTTAAAATGCCAGCATATACATCAATTTCTAAATCTAAAAAGTTTATATTATATTTACTAAATACACTGCTAAAATTTAGGCCCCATTCATTTTGATTAATATTTTCTAAAACAAATTCTAAATCTATTTGTGAGCCTTTCCATATAAAAAAGATATCATCGCTATATCTATGATAGGATACCAGGTTCGTCCCCCAATTCTGGCTGTTGTAGATCATTTCTGTTTCCCAGCCTGACATAAATAAATTAGCATAACTAGGGGCGAAATGGTCCCCATAGCAGTGCCCTGTAATCGTAAATAAAACCTAGAGTTAAAAAAGAAATAAATTATTTTCTAACATCCATTTAATACTATGAACTAAAAATTGGATGTGATTCTCATTAAAAATTCCAGATTTTTCCAAGCATTCTTGTATAGTTCTACACCCCTTTTCATGGGAAATAGAGGTATACAGTGCCGTTACATCTGAAGTAACTAGGAAATACTCTTCCTCCCGTTTAGTATTCTTTACAATTTTTATTATGTCTGTAGTATCTTTGAGGTATAAGGGCATTTCTTTAACTAAATTTTGTAGCCAAATGTCCACGTATTTGGAAAGATTGGCTGAAATAGATCCAATACCGGACACGATTGGCCTGCCCAGGGGTTTTTCCAAATTTTTATGTACCTTCGGCAGGGTGTAAAACACGGGCACTCTAGGAAATTCAACTTGTAAAAACTTATACTCATTTTCATTTAAATTACCCTCTTCCTTACCCCTTTTTAAAAGAATCTCTAAAGAGGATTTCATCTCTATAGTAGGGTCTTTTTTTAATACCTTATATATTTTCTTATGCTCTAATTGTCGATAACATTCTTCCAAGTAATTAGTAGTGTTCTGAATAACAATACTGCCCCCCTTATCTGCTGGCTTTATTATTATTTCTCTATTATTTCTCAAATCTTGTAGGGCTTTACGTTCATTAAAACTTAAGTTAGAATTATGTTTTTTGTTTACACTCCCCAATTTATCAAAGTCCTCAATGACGGATTTCTCAAAGATCTCTATGGCACTTGTTCTGTAGTTCCTAGGATAAAAACTCGATTTATTCCTCAAATCAGTATGGTTTTCACTCTTCCTAGTATCATTATATTTATTAATTTCAAAGAATCTTTTTAAAGTGAGTGTTCTAGAATATTTTAATATATCAATATATACGGAAAAAGAGTTAAAATTTCTACTGGGGGCGAATTTCAGACCTTTATTTAAAATTCTAATTTCAGCGTTATTTTTAAAGGAATGTTCCAAGTACCATAACCCCTACAATGCACTGTAGTGATTATAATTATTTTATTATTTATATAGCGCCATCAGATTCCATACAATGATGAAAGGAGTTTCCTTGTGTTCCCCCATTGTAAATAGTCCAACTTTTTTATAACAAGCACACTTTAGTGGATATGGTATTTGGAGATGTCCTTTAATATTGTATTCCTGTGTAATGGATCTTCCTGTAAAGGCTCGCTCATGAAGGAATTAATGCACAGTTATTTACTTGCTAAGATCAATATAAAAAAGATCAATGTGTCATATAAAAACAAAAATATAATTTAGGAGTGTGGTATAGCACAACACCAAAAGGCAAAATAGTTTAACCTAGTGCAGTTATTGTGTATAAGCTGCTGTAGCCCCAAAAGCAAGCAAAATATAGCAATCCAAAGTATTCATCCACAAAGCAAAGCTTAGTTGTAGGGGCCCTATGAGGACATTTATTATTATTATCCTTGATAAAGGGACAGGGTCCCGAAACGTCCGTATTTTGAATGCTCTTTGAATAAACTTGGGCTGCACTAGTGGGCACCTATAACTAAGATGTGCTTTGTGGATGAATATTTTGGATTGTCATATGAAAACATTTTCAATTAAAATCTAGTGATTTCTTTATATTTCTTTCTCAATTTACTCTTTCTTTCTCTTACAAGAGGCTGTGATATCTAGCCAAAAACTTACTAAAAGATACACAAACATTTGCACATGTGACATTTACATACATATATACAGTATATACTGATTACATACTTATATTACTTTATATGCTATATAATTTACCCATTATTTCAGGAACATGGATGGTGATGTTAATTCATGCAGTCATTCCACGAATGGTAAAAATGCAAGATTCGTTACTATGCACAATGTAGGATCAGCTGCCATTTTATTGTGGCACTATTCAAAGCTTAATTATTAGCAGCAATTAAAAAAACATCTGGACAAGAGTATCAAAACCTCTACCCTTTAAACTCTCCTAACATTAGACAATCCATAATAATGTAATATAGACATCAACAAGAACAATGGATACTCATACACATCGCTAAAGTGATTTTGATGCTTAGAGTGTCCCTTTAATTTTGTATTTCACATAACTGTGGCATTATTGTAATCTGCAACATGAATATAAATTGTTTATCTTGAAGGCCACGATTGTTAAAACTTAAGAATAATTTTGATCTTAATCATTTTGTTTCACACAGTCAAAGAATACTTTTAACAGAGCCAAGCTGATAAACGTTGGATTTACTGAAGCTGCAAAGGATTATGATTACGACTGCTTTATTTTCAGTGATGTGGACATTATCCCAATGGATCTGAGGCATCTCTACAGGTGTTCTAAAAATCCAAGGCATCTGGCCAATGCTGTAGACAAGTTCAATTTTACGTAAGCTGTTTTTGTTGTCATTCTATTTATTTATTGTTAATATAGTCTTGAGATGGCTGATATCAAATTTATTTAAATATGAGATATTATAAATGAAAGCAACTACAAACATCATGACCACAACAATGTGCTGGAGTGGTTATGGTTCAAGGAGTGCCCTGGTTCCTCCCATTATACGCAGTCACACCTCTTTAGAATGGTTTCAGTCCTTACCTAGGGTCCACCAGGCAGTCTGAAGAGCTCACAATTTCAAGTCCTATGTTACTAGCCAGGTCAAAAGCTTACTTACAACTGCAAGCCTCGAGGATTCATGGCACAAAATCCAGTGGTGATTTTTGCCACTTGAATTTTCTCTCAACAGTGGCTTGTGAAGGTTTTGAGCTATGCCTACCTCCTATACAACAGAGTAAAAGACAAAAAGTATCATCTAACTTCTTTAAGTCAATTAGCCCTGCGGCTCTCTGTCAGATGTAGTGGAGACAGGGACTAGCTCCTGGTGGACCACAGGTAAGAAGTCAAACCATTCTAAAATGGTGTGCGCTACTCACATTGGCGGAGCAGGCAACTCTTGGCACTGTAACCATTATCTATGTATTGTAAGTTTTATGGATATTCTCTATGATGAATATATTACATTGGAAACCTAAATTTATTTTCAAGTTTTTTTGGTGGGGGGGGGATAAGAGAAATAAGTAGCACACAAATAAAAATGTAAATACTTATATATAAAATTCCAAATATTAAAGAAATTTCATGAAATAGAAGTATTACACAAGAAGTATTATGCATTTCACCCTTTAAAAAAGATCACAGCTAAATTTTGCAGAAATTAACAAAGCGAATAGGCTCAAAATGCCCACAGTGCATTGTAGTTGTTATGGTTCAGAGTGTCCTAACGGCCCTCTAATTTACGATTTACAAGCTGCTTTGTAAAAGACTGACTTCTCATCTGGGGTCTGCTGGATGCTACTCTGTATCTCCTGTTTTGAGAGTCAGCTTGTTGTCTGAGAGCATCAGTTGACTTCTTTCATCCAATGAGGAAAGTCCTTCACTATGTATACAGGGAGGTGTGCCTAGGGCTGTATTAAACAAAGTGATTTAACTAATCAATTGAGCAGTGAGGGGCATGCAGGGTAACAGTGCAGGGGCATGATTTAGACACCAAAACTGTTTCATTAAGCTAAAGTAGTTTTGGTGACTATAGTGTACATTTAATATTTTACTATTAACAAAAGATCTAAAACTCACTTGTTGCAATTGTGGAGAAAATAAACGTTTGTGTAGAAGGTACAACGTGTTTAGTTTTTTTTACTATGTGTAAATAAATATTTTTAAAGTACTTTTTGTAACATATTTCTGATATAATGTTTTTATTCTCCATTAGGCTACTCTATGAAACACTTTTTGGTGGAATAGTTGCTTTCACAAAAGAACAGTTCCTCAAAATTAATGGGTTTTCCAATACATTCTGGGGATGGGGTGGAGAAGATGATGAATTATATAACAGGTATGTGGTAATTTATTATTAATATTGTATAATCTCAAACTTTGCTCAATCTCAGACCTTTCTTACACACCTTTTCTGCTATTTGTGTTGACAATGCATCTCACTCAGCATCATAAACCTTACTTAGCTCTCGATTTTAAGATGTTTTCCAAATGACACAATACTGTTAGACAGCCTTCCCAAATGATTTATCTACACACATTCCATAGACTTTAATCGGGATTTATGTAGATAAATAATTTGAAAAGTTTTTCTAACAGTATTGAATCGATAGACTTGCGCACAGTAGAAAGATAAGTAATTTTTTTTAGTTCTGGAAGACCAGTAGTGGTCCATGCAAAATATTTGGAAAAAATGTTCTGGAGAAGCAAAAAAGGATAAAGCACCAAAAATGGTTACAATATTGCCTAGTCATGGACCGATTAAGGGCTTCATGGACCTGGTGCTGAGGATTTTGGTGTGCCTTTTTATGGAAATGTATAAAATGAAGCACATTGCAGTGTTTATGGTGTCGTCCAACCTGTCAATCTATTTTTTTTTTGTGGTGTGATGGTTAACTTGGTAATGCTGGGCACCCAAACCGCTCACTTCTCGTGCTCAAGAATCAGTATGACTTGGATGCTACATCTTGAAGACAGGAATCAGTGTGGATTGAGAATAAAAAGTAGCCCTATAAAAAAGCTCATACCAACCTTATCATGCATTGCAATAGTAGAGTGTGCATCTACACTTATGGGCTGCATAATAAACAAACAAACAAAAAGTATTTATTTTAAGCAGACGTGCAAAAATACAGCCAAAGTTCCAGCTTGATTACCTTGGAGAGTTATGATAAATATGGTAATGGCACACAAACATGGAGATGCATTTGCTTAAATTAAAAAAGTTATTTTGGTTATTCTTTGCAAAGGACCCCACCTCCATAGCAATTTTAGCTTATTGAAGTATTTATGGGGAATTTCTGGGCGAAAAATTGCAACAATTTATTATTGAAATTGAGGCTGTCGTGTCCAACACCGCTGCCTCTGGCTTCTTTTCTCTGCAGTATGAGGACAGTTTACCTGGGCAGTCGGTCACAGGCAGAGAATTTCATTTGACGTTTTAACCCAATGACTGAGAGAAATAGTATGTTTCTGTGTTTTACAGTTGGGCTCAAAAGTTTGCATATCTTGGCAGAAATTGTGAAACTTTGGCATTGATTTAGAAAATATGACTGATCATACAAAAATTTTATTTTATTGAAGGATAGTGATCGTATGAAGCCATTTATTATCGCATATTTGTTTGGCTCCTTTTTAAATCATAACGATAACAGAAATCACGTGGATGCACTGAGCAGGTTAGATACTGAGTCATGGGGAGCAGAAAAGAATTGTCAAAAGACCAGCGTAACGAGGTAATGGAACTTTATAAAGATGGAAAAGGATATAAAAAGATACCCAAACCTTGAAAATGCCAGTCAGTACTGTTCAATCACTTATTAAGAAGTGGAAAATTCTGGGACCTCTTGATACCAAGCCACGGTCAGGTAGACCAAGAAATATTTCAGCCACGAGTGCCAGAATAATTGTTCAGGATACAACGAAAAACCCACAGGTAACCTCAGGAGAAATACAGGCTGCTGTTGAAAAAGACTGTGTTGTTGTTTTAAGGAGCACAACACAACCATACTTGAACAAAAATGAGCTGCACGGTCGAGTTGCCAGAAAGAAGTCTTTACTGCACCAATTCCACGAAAAAGCCCGGTACAATATGCCCGGCAACACCATAACACGCCTCACAGCTTCTGGCATACTGTAATTTGGAGTGATGAGACCAAAATAGAGCTTTATGGTCACAACCATGAGCGCTATGTTTGGAGAGGGGTCAACAAGGCCTATAGTAAAAAGAATACCATCCCCACTGTTAAGCATGGTGGTGGTGTACTAATGTTTTTTGGGGGGGGGGGTGTGTTTTAAGGGCATGGGGAATCTTGTGAAAATTGATGGCAAGATGAATGCAGCATGTTATCAGAAAATATTTGCAGACAATTTACATTCTTCTGCACGAAGGCTGCGCATGGGACGCTCTTGGACATTCCAGCATGACCCTAAGCAGAAGGCCAAGTTGACCTCCAGTGGTTACAGCAGAAAAAGGTAAAGGCTCTGGCCATCAAAGTCTCCTGACTTTAATATTATTGAAGCACTGTAGGGAGATCTGAAACATGCGGTTCATGCAAAATGACCAAAGACTTTGCATGACCTGAGGGCATTTTCCCAAGATGAATGGGCAGCTATACCACCTGCAAGAACTAGGAGCCTCATAGACAACTATTACAAAAGACTGCATGCTGTCATTGATGCTAAAGGGGGCAATACACAGTATTAAGAACTAAGGATATGCAGACTTTTGAACAGGGGTAATTTCATTTTTTTCTTTGTTGCCATGTTTTGTTTTATGATTGTGCCATTCTGTTATAACCTATAGTTGAATATGAATCGCATAAGAAATAATAGAAATGTGTTTTGCCTGCTCACTCATGTTTTCTTTAAAAATGGTACAAATATTACCAATTCTCCAGGGGTATGCAAACTTTTGAGCACAACTGTACAAGTGACCCAATAAATCTTCACTTGTTCATCTGATAGAGATGCACAAGTGAAATGTTTACTGGCCCTGGTATGAGGATAAAAAATTATCACTTATTTTTTAATACACATGCCATTGTATACTGTGAACAGAACCCTCAATGTTTCCCTGTGACACACACATGCTGATCCAGTCTCTGACTATTGCTCACTGCTGTTACACTTTTAAATGTACTAAGTTCTTAGGGATCCCAAGAAGGTTAATAAACAAAATCTGAGAGGCATACATGTGTGTAAACCCGTGTGCAGATACACATCAGTGCTACTCAAGAGTAGAGATGTCGCGAACTGTTCGCGACATCTCTACTCAAGAGAAGAAGTGCTGTGTTTTTGATGGAAAAATATATTTAAAAAATGTAAAATAGTAATTAATCTCCCATATTGCAACTGTAATTAGGAAATAACTCATCTGTGAGCTAGAAGAGGCAAAATATGTCAGCTTGATGCTAGATAGATCGACTGACGAATGAGGAGTAGAAGAGTTAATATTGTATGTCAGATATATCAAAACAATAGGATCAAAAAATATTTCTATCAGCCCTGTTACTTGAAATGGCTATTGCAGATGGGTACTTAGAAACCATCACTAAAGGCCTGAAGATGCATGGTCTCTTAGAATTACATTCTTCAAGCCAACTGATTGGAATTGGTTCAGAGGGTGCCAGCGTGATTGGAGCTGAAAATGGACTGGTAGAGAAAGTAAGTCAAAATCTCACCCATGTAATTGGCTTTCACTGTGCTGCACACAGCTTATATTTAAGTGTATTAAGCTCTGTGAAAGAAGGACAATTCATCGATGACCTTGACTCGGTTTTAAAGAAGCTGTACAAATTTTACCAGTATTTACGAATGAGACCGCTGAAGCAGGAACCGTATATATTCGTGTATAAGTCGAGAAATTTTACCTGCAAACTTAATGTTATATTGCAGGCTCGACTTATACACAGGTGTGAGGGGGGATGGCCGCATCATCGTGGTGCCGCTGGGCCAGGCGGCCGCATCATCGTGGTGCCGCTGGGCAGGGCGGCCGCCTAGCCAGTCCGGCGAGATACTCACTTTCGTGCTTTCTGACAGTGCAGCTGTCAGAAAGCACGAACTGAAGGAGGGAGACTATCTTGCTCCCTCACAGCGGCGGTGGCATACTCCGGGTAGCGAGAGGGAGGGGGACGGGGACATCAGACAAAGGGCCAGTGCTACTATCTTAATGGAGCACCGGCCAAGAGGCACATTGATGTCCGTGTGACTGGCGGGAGCACATAAAACCACTCTCCTGCCGGTCAATCTCTCTTACCCCTCCAGATGCGCCGGCCAAATGAAGCGTTAAAGTTAAAGCCTCAGAGGGGATGTGAGCTGCGAGGAGCGGCAGTGGCTCGCGGCTAATCAGCTCACATTGTGTTAAGGGATGCTGGGATACATGACGTCATATCCCAGCAGCCAAGTATTGGAAAGAGCGAAGGCTGGCCACTGGGAGAAACTTGTTTAATTTATAAAAAAAAAAAAAAGTGTTTATAATCTAGTGAGTTTGTGTCAGTGTGTGTGTATGTTTGTTTCAGTAAGGGTGTGTTTGTTTGTCAGTGAGTGTTTGTGTTTCTGTCAGTGAATGTGTATGTTTCTGTCAGTGAGTGTGTGTGTGTTTCTGTCAGTGAATGTGTGTGTTTCTGTCAGTGAGTGTGTGTGTTTCTGTCAGTGGGTGTATGTGTTTCTGTCAGTGAATGTGTGTGTTTCTGTCAGTGAATAATAGGATCAAAAATATTTCTATCAGCCCTGTTACTTGAAATGGCTATTGCAGATGGGTACTTAGAAACCATCACTAAAGGCCTGAAGATGCATGGTCTCTTAGAATTACATTCTTCAAGCCAACTGATTGGAATTGGTTCAGAGGGTGCCAGTGTGATTGGAGTCGATCTATCTAGCATCAAGCTGACATATTTATATAGAGAGTGTTTGTCAGTGAATGTGTGTGTTTCTGTCAGTGTGTGTGTGTGTTTCTGTCAGTGAATGTGTATGTTTCTGTCAGTGAGTGTTTCTGTCAGTGTGTGTTTGTTTGTTTCTGTCAGTGAATGTGTGTGTTTCTGTCAGTGAATGTTTCTGTCAGAGAGTGTTTGTCAGTGAGTGTTTGTCAGTGAGTGTTTCTGTCGGTGAATGTTTCTGTCATTAAATGTTTCTGTCAGTGAATGTGTGTGTTTCTGTCAGTGAATGTGTGTCAAGAGTCAGAGTGCATTTGTGTATGTGTCAGTGTGTGTATGAGCCAGTGAGTGCATGTGTGTGTATATATTAAAGGAACAGTATAGGGACAAACGTATTCCTGGCCCTATAGTGTAGGGTCCCTGGCCCCCCTCGACGCTGTTAAGGCATACTATGGGCTTAAACACTGTCAGGGCGGCATGGTTCACCCTAGCAGTGCAGCTGTCAGAAAGCACAAACTGAAGGAGGGAGAAGACAAAACTATGATGCTCCGTTGCGGCTTGCACAATTCTTAGCATAGCCACATCATAGAGTAGTGTTTACTCCATGATGTGTCCATGCTGGGAATTGTGGGAACCGCGAGGGAGCATGATAGAGAGACATTTGTGTTATATTTCCAGTTTACACGTGCAAGGTCAGCCTCAGGAGAAAGGGAAAAGAGAGACACAAGGGGAGGGGGGAGAAAGAGACTGAGGGGAAGACTGTTACAAAATGCCTTTTGTAACTGTTCCTTTAAATGACAAATTGCCCTGCTTCCCTGGATTATGGAGGAGCCTATTTGCCAGCCTCCTCCCCCGTGACTATGGACCGGGTTTGTATGGCCCTTTAAGAACAGTCTGTGAGCATATTGGGGCTTATGGACTTTTTATGGGACTGGTGCTGGCCCTTTAAGCACATTTTTGGGCCATAGGGAAAAGTGGGACACTGCCCCTTTACGCCTGTGTCCCCAGACTTGGTTAAAACCCTTTGTTCCTGGCTATTTCCCACTTGGTTCAGTGAATGGGGCTTAATGAACCAAGTACCACACAGGCTGACCACCCAGAAGTGGAAGTGTGCAGGCAATTTACCTCCCAGGCTGGGAGCCTGCTGTAGGTAAATTGCCGAATGCTGGGTGGTCGCCGTACGAACACGTGGCGGCGCCATCTTTATTCATTCAAATACGGTCAGCAGTGTGTGCAGCCAAATTCATGGAACTAAAACCTGTACCTTCTCCCATACCGAACTTTCATTCGGTGATGGGACTTTTTTTTTTTTTTTTCAGCCTGAAATAGACCGACCGCACAGCCCAAATCTATGGAACTGTTTTGGGCATGAAAATGTGTCGGTCATAAAGGACTTCCGTCTAACTTTTTATCCACTGGAGGGATTTGTGTGATTTTTGGTTAGGTTTATATTTAAAGGATGCTGATTAATAATATGTATCTTTTTATGTCTGTTAGTGAGTGAGTGTGTGTCTGTTAGTGAGTGAGTGTGTGTGTCTGTTAGTGAGTGAGTGTATCTGTGTGTGTGTCTGTTAGTGAGTGTGTGTCTGTTAGTGAGTGTTTGTGTGTCTGTTAGTGTGTTTGTTTGTGTGTCTGTTAGTGAGTGTGTGTATGTTAGTGTGTGTGTGTGTGTGTGTGTCAGTGTGAGTGAGTGTGTGTCAGTGTGAGTGAGTGTGTGTGTCTGTGAGTGTGTATGTCTGTTAGCTAGTGTATGCGTATCTGTCAGTGAATGTGTGTGTGTATTTAGAAGGCGGGGCAGGGGGGAAGGGTGGGGGGGGGGCACCTGAGTTTTGTCCTGCCTAGGGCAGTGCAAAACCAGGATACACCACTGGTCCTATGTAAGGAAAACCTGCATAAAAGAAGGCCCTTTGGTGCCAATTAAACAGAATGACTTGACCCTCTAACTTGCAGCCTTGACTCATGTTTGTAGGGGACAGCTATAATCACTACAGGGATTGCTATGCTCTTCATACTCCCTTAGCCACTGAGCTCTTGTAAGAGCTCTTGTTCCTGATCCTGCTTCGCTCTACAGAAGGAAGAGATTCACCTACTGGAACATGGAGCCTGGTCGTAGGTCCAGGGTGGATAGCAGACGGCGAGATCCTAGCCCAGCAGCGGTGGTTCGTGGAGTCTGCAGTGCTTATAGTGTCTACGGTGCTGATGGTCCTTTGATGAGCGCCAGGAGCATCCTTTCTACGGTCCAACTTCCAGCCAGCCTGGAGGCAACCATAACAAAGACAGAGGAGGAAGAGAGACACACAAAAGGGAGGGGGAGAGAGACACACAGAGGATAGGGGATGATGAAACAGGGGCAAGAGAGAGACACAGGGGGAGGGAAAAAGAGGCAGAGGGGGAGGATAGAGACTGGGAAGAAAAGGGGAGAAATGGACACATAGGTGCAGTGAGGGGGAGAAAGAAACATACCGGTACACCATATAAGGGAACTTGATTGACTATTTACTCTTGTTTGTTGTCAAATGATTATTAAGATTACATTAATAATAACAGAATAATATTTTCGGTAAATTCTTATCTTCCGAAAAATGAGTTTTGCAAAGAAAACGATAGCTTCTAACACTGCTGCGCTTAAATTGAAAGTTATTGAACGTGCAAAGGAAGCCAATAATAGTGTAGCTACACGAGAGTTTAGCATCAGCGAAAAACTCGTAAGAGATTGGAGAAAAAATTAGGCTGAATTGCAAGCCATGCCGAAGTTGAAGAAAGCATTACGTTTCAAAGCTACACCTTTTGATGGAATGGAAAAGGATTTGAATGACTGGATAATGGAATGTAGACAAAATGGATATGTTGTGACTCGCTCGAGCATTCAAATACGAGCACTTCAGATGGCAAAAGAAAAATATTTGGCGACTGAAGGTATGGCACAATTTAGAGCATCGTCTGGTTGGTGCACACGATTCATGAACGAATATGGATTGTGTCTTCGTCAGCGAACAAAGATCGCTCAGACGCTGCCTAAAGAGCTGGACGAAAAGGTCATGTCATTCCACAAATTCATTATCAAACAGAGAAAAAAGAATGGTTTCGCTCTGATAACATTGGTAATATGGACAAAACTCCAATGACATTTGATATGCCTGGCAATTGAACTGTAGCAAGCGTTGCGGAAAAAACTGTACTTATAAAAACAACCGGTCATGAAAAGTCACATTTCATTGTTGTCCTGTCTTGCCTGGCAGATGGCACTAAACTGAGCCCGGTAATAATATTCAAGAGGAAAACAATGCCAAAGAACTTAAAAATTCTGGCAGGAGTAACTTTTCATGTTCACCCTAAAGGCTGGATGGATGAGGAGGGTACAAAGTTGTGGCTGCGCAATGTGTGGGGCAGGCGACCAGTCGCAGCGCTAAGAAAATGTCAGTCGTTATTGGTGTGGGATATGTTCCATGCGCATATAACAGAGGATGTGAAGGAAGAAGAAAAGAAAATGGCAACCACGTTGGCAGTGATTCCAGGCGACCTAACATCAATGCTCCAGCCATTGGATGTCTGTCTCAACAAGCCTTTCAAGGACCGATTGCGCAATATGTGGTAACAATGGATGTGTTCTGGTCAAGCAAAGTTAACGAAAGGAGAAAACTTGATGAAACCAGACATTGATTTGATAACGAAATGGGTAAAGGATGCTTGGGATTCCATATCACCAGAAATGATCAAGAAGTCGTTCCTGAAATGCGGAATTAGTAATTCTATGGATGGATCAGAGGACGACGCCATCTATGAAGAGAAAGATGAATCGACTTCATATACCAATTCAACAGATGACGACAGCGAAGACGACGTATACACTGATGGCATCACCGAAGAACAATGTCATGATTTATTCGGACATTCTGACGATGACGAGTCAGAGTTTGAAGGATTTGTATAGGCCAAACAATGTTAAAATTCCCTGTAATAAGTTTAAGGGATTCGTTACAGTTAATAAATTAAATGTTCATGTTCATGATTGCTCATTTTTTTAAATCCAGTTTTTAGCGGACATGTTTGATTGTTCCAGGATCTTACCTAGGTAAAATCTGACAAAATTATAAAAGTCCCAAATTTTACCCTCGACGTATCCACAAGTCATAGCATATTTCACAATTGTTGGTCACAAAACTGCACTCGACTTATACACAAGATCGACTTATACACGAGTATATACGGTAACTCATAGTTTTCAGAAAAAAAAATACAGAAATATTTGCATATCATAAGATGGGTGTCAAGCAAAGTCAGTGCTCTCTCTGCACTTGTCAAAGACAAGGTGCCAGTTCACGTTGAAAGTGTTGCTGCAGAAAACTTGTTTGTTTTAAAAAAAACAAAAAAAACTAACTGATTTTAAATGCGTTCACAAGCTCCATTTTCTGCTTGATTACCTGAAATCATTAAGAACCTCTCCCTATTATTTCAAAGGGAAAAACTTTTTTTAAGCACAACTGAGTTGCATGTGAAAAACACTATTTCATTGTTAAACTCACTCAAAGCTGTTCCAAAACAGCATGAGAAGAGATTTATCGATGGAACATCACTTAAAGGACTGTAACAAAATATACAGTTGCATGGAGTCAGCAATACTGTAACTTCTTCGATCCAGCATAAAAAAGACAAATTAATTCAGCATGCTGTTAAACATGTGGAAGAGCGATTTCTGATCCAGAGGAATATTGAACGTTCCACGAGTGTTATATACCTGTTGCTAGGGATGTGCATGATCCAAAAATTCGGTTTGGTTCGGAAATTCGGGTAAGAAAAAAAGTCGTCAATTCGTGACTTTGGCCCTTCGGTTCGGTACTTCTGAAATTCAAGACTTCGGCAATTCAGAACTTTGGTATGGTTCAGGACTTCGGTTCGGGACTTTGGCAATTCGGAAAATCTAAGCCAACAATCTAAAACCCTACTCCTACCCTAAGCCAACCCTACCCTAACCCAAACCTAGCCTACCCCTAACCTAACCCTGTCATTATTCACATAAATTTCCCTCCCTCTCTTGTTTTGCCACTTTTTAGAAATCCGAAGCACTTCGGCACTTAGAAAATTCGGCACTTCTGCCATTTGGTTCGGCACTTCAGCAATTTTGGGACTTTGGCAATTCCGTTCGGTACTTCCGAAATTTGGCACTTCGGACATTCTGAAGCATCCGAATGTTCGAATTGCCTGAAATGCGTCCGAATTCACATTCGGTCCGAAACGCACGTGTCTACCTACCTTTTGCCTGGCATCAGGAACAACATTACAAGACTATGGTGTTGATGACATTACAGCATTGGCTCAGCATTTCCAGAAACAACTCTTTCTGCTTGAAATGCATGGCAAATGCATTCATGCAATCCACAATGAGTGTTAGAAATTTAAAGTCCTTTGAAATGGAAAGAAACTGAGTGAACTTCAGGATTTGGCACTCTCAAATAGACAGATTTCCAGTTTTGGGAAACTTGTTGTCTGTAGTGTCTGCATTGCCAGTCTCAACCATATGTTGTGAGAGAGGGTACAGCATAATGAACTTTGTAAAAATTAAATTCAGATCATCAATGCAACAAAAGAGTTTAGATGATTAATTGATGACCAACACGAATGGATCATCAGTCCAGGTGTTAGATCCAGCAAAGGCTGTTGACCACTGGTACTTGCATGTCCATAGTAAATAAAAAACAAGTAAAAAGAACTGATACATTGCATAAAACATCAGAATATATTAATTATGTGCATAATGTCTATGACATTTGGTTCTAGTTTTCTTTATGTATAAATCTTATATCTGCTATTTTTGTCATTGAAAATAAAGCTTTGTTAGTTTTAAAAAATCTGGCTCCTAATTTTTTAGCTAGCTCCTATATTCAAAGCAGCCCTGCTCCAGGAACTATAACCAATTATTTAAGATGAAACAGTTATAGTGCCAAAAATGCCCTTTTAAGAATAACCACCAACAGTCTTGGTTCTGCCCCACAAATAAAGAAGTCCTAATTATAATCCAAGCCATAATCCTAGCTTTAGAACAGAAGAAAGGGATCAGCGCTCTCTATCTATACAAAATACAACAGAAACAATAATAAATAAGTAAAAAGTGGCAGCACACCTAAAAAGTAGGGCTCCCTCACAGGCCTTACAACAGAAATGGTACAGAAAAAAGAAAGGAAGGCAGCGCCACTATAAACCACATAAATTAAAAGAGCACAGAATAGGCAGACTAGAATACAATATATATGATAGATACTAAGCAAAATAGAAGTCCAGAATAAATAGTCTGACTGGTAGATGAATCAAACAACGAGGTATATCCTTGTAGAGGTGAATACAGTCTTTTGTAGTGGGGGATTCTTCAGAGTGGTGTAGATGCGTCTTTGTACATCATATGAAATGAGAAAATAACAACTGATGGTATAGTATGTCCCGAAAGGGGTAGAAGCAATAAAAGAATATATGGTCCTACTCACGTTTTCAAGAGCTATGGACTTAGCTCTAGTGTTGATAACGTACAGTGGTATAATCCCCACTTATGGGATACGTGAGGTCTTAGTATTCTTTCTTGATTAGGGGACCATATGTGGAAATAAAAGCAGGAACAACAATGGTGCTCAAAGTATAAAATGCCAGAGGTGAGAAGATAAAAAACCAAGTGGTTACTCACATTTAGTTGAACAGACTGACTGTTCAATGAATACAGCTTGAGTGGTATAATCCCCACCTAGGATTCTTGGGAGTAATATCCTCACTGGAAAGTAAAAACACTTCTGTGCCGGATAAAAGGATGGTAGTAATAAAAAAGTAAAATAATAATAGTAATAAAAAGTAAGATGGCTAACTCACAGTAAGAAAGTGGCCAAAATACCTTTTATTTAAAACAATATAGTTTAAAAAACCACAACGCGTTTCGCCCTTAGGCTTTATCAAGTGGAGATCAGAAAGTACATCCTGTTACATACAGGTTTATATAGGCAGTGAACATATTAGAAAATGGTGCCAAAATGATGTCATAATTTTTTTTTTTTCTCAAAAGTGCTAAATTTTATATGTGTAAGTGAGTACATACCTATATGTAAAACATGTGATAGTTTAAAATTAAAAACGAGGTTTTAAACTCACAATACCTTACATATTCTATTTAGATACAACAGTCACATGATCGGTGGCCATTTTTTTTTTTTTTTTAAAAGTGCTAAACTTTATATGTATCAGTGAATACAAACCTATATTGGAGACATGTGATAGTCTAAAATTTAAATTAAAAACAAGGTTTTATACTCACAATACCTTGCATATTATTTAAATAGAACAGTCACGTATATAAGTCACATTGTATAAATATGTACTTCATGCACAAAATAATTATAAAAGATAATAAAATATAAGAAATATATTATAAAAAATTAATTATAAAAATTATAAAAAAATTATAAAAAATTAAACAGGTCGAACTCTACATTAAGACCTTCGGGGGTAAGGGTTTTTAAAAGGAACACCCAGTGCATTTCTTTTTGTCCCAGTAATTTTTTGAGGTCACCTCCCCTCCAGGGTAATTTACATCTTTGGATCCCAGTACATTTTAAAAATTTAGGGTCTTTGTTGTGTTGGATAAAATGCTTTTGAAACAGAGTGATTAGGGTAGCCTTTGATAATATTTCTACAATGTTCTGCTAACCTTATTTTTAAGCATCGTGTGGTCATACCCACATACTGGAGGCCACATGGGCACTCCAATAGGTATACAACATTCTTAGTAGTGCAACATATTAAGTCTTTAATAGGGTATGTAATACCGGTTTTGTTTGAGGTGAATTGTGTTGTCTTTGATGTGCTGTTTTGGTCAGTGGATCTGCAGACAATGCATCTGTTGCATTTGAAAAAACCTTTAGAATTTGATTAAAATGATGGATTGCTTGTATTGGCTTTTTTTGTATAATTTTTAGTAAGCATTGTCTTTAGGTTTGGGGCCCCTCTAAAAATGATATGGGGTTTATCTGGGATGAGTGTCTTTAAAATTTCATCTTGTTTTAAAATGTGCCAGTGTTTTTGAATAGTTTTTTCACAATTTTATTCTTATTGTCAAAGTTAAAGATGATCGGTATGGATGGTGGGTCTTTATTTTTATTCGTATTATATTCTAAAAGCTCGAGTCTTTCTTTTTGTTTCACTGCTTTGAGGGATTCTTCTAGCTTTTCTTTTGGGTAATTTTTGCTGATAAATTGAGCTTCTAGTGTTCTAGCTTGTTCGTCAAAATCTGTATTAAGGGAACAGTTCCTGCGAAGACGTAGGAACTGACCTTTAGGGACCCCATCTAACCATGGTTGGTAGTGGCAGCTTGATCTGTCAATGACTGTGTTGGTGCACACTTTTTTTAAAAAAGTTCTAGTGTTAATATTCCCATCCTGGATAAAAATTTGGATGTCTAAAAAATTTATTAAATCTTTGCTGTGTTCTGATGTTAAAATGATGCCACTATTGTTGTTGTTTAGATGATTTAAAAAAAGTTTAAGTGAGGTTTCAGGACCTTTCCAGATAAAAAACAAATCGTCTATGTATCTAAAATAGGATACTAGGTTTGCTTTCCAGGGGTGATCTCCCCAGATTGCTTAAGACTCCCAATTGTCCATAAAAAGATTGGCATAACTTGGTGCAAACCTAGTACCCATAGCTGTGCCTTGTCTTTGAATGTAAAAAGTGTCTAAAAACCAAAAATAGTTATTTGTTAAAATCATTTTTATCCCTTCTAAGATAAAATTAATTTGTTTTCTGGAATTTTATTATCCGTTTTTAATCTATTTAAAACTGCTTCACACCCTAATTCGTGGGGGATTATGGTGTACAAAGACTGGACATCACAAGTGACTAGAATAAAATCTGGATGCCAGGTAAAATGTTCTAAAAAACGTAAGAGAGACATGGAATCTTTTAAGTATGACCTCATAAGTCTGACTGATGGTTGTAATAAAATGTCAATATACTCTGATAAGTTTGATAAAACAGAATTGATCCAGGAGACAATAGGTCTACCTGGTGGATTGGTCTCATTCTTGTGTATCTTTGGTAAAAAGTATATGACTGGAATTTTTGGATGAGGTATATTTAAATAAGCAAATTCTTTTTTGTTGAGGATATTGGAATTTAAGCCTTTGGTTAAAAATGATATAAGGGAGTTTTGGATGGTATGGGTTGGGTCTGATAGTAGCTTGTCATATACTTTGGGGTCATTAAGCTGTCTAAATGCTTCTTTGATGTACATTTCTTGTGAGATTATAACTAGGCCGCCCCCTTTATCGGCTGGTTTGATGACTATTGTGTCATCTTTTTTAAGATCTGTGAGAGCTTTCCTTTCTTGGAAGGTTAAGTTATATTGGTTATATTTATGATATTTGTGGTTGTTTTTTTTGGAGGTATTAATTTTTTCTAAGTCTTGCTTTACCAAATTCTCAAAAACTTCTATTGGGCCAGATTTGAAACTTGATGGGTAAAAATTAGAGTTATTCTTAAGGGTGGTGTTTTTCACTGGTATCTCGTCATTAATACATGGAGGTGTGGGGGAATAGTTGGTCTGTCCCTGGTTAATAGATTGATTCTCAACAAAGACCCTAAATTTTTAAAATGTACTGGGATCCAAAGATGTAAATTACCCTGGAGGGGAGGTGACCTCAAAAAATTACTGGGACAAAAAGAAATGCACTGGGTGTTCCTTTTAAAAACCCTTACCCCCGAAGGTCTTAATGTAGAGTTTGAATTTTTTATAATTTTTTATAATTTTTATAATTAATTTTTTATAATATATTTCTTATATTTTATTATCTTTTATAATTATTTTGTGCATGAAGTACATATTTATACAATGTGACTTATATACGTGACTGTTCTATTTAAATAATATGCAAGGTATTGTGAGTATAAAACCTTGTTTTTAATTTAAATTTTAGACTATCACATGTCTCCAATATAGGTTTGTATTCACTGATACATATAAAGTTTAGCACTTTAAAAAAAAAAAAAAAAAAATGGCCACCGATCATGTGACTGTTGTATCTAAATAGAATATGTAAGGTATTGTGAGTTTAAAACCTCGTTTTTAATTTTAAACTATCACATGTTTTACATATAGGTATGTACTCACTTACACATATAAAATTTAGCACTTTTGAGAAAAAAAAAATTATGACATCATTTTGGCGCCATTTTCTAATATGTTCACTGCCTATATAAACCTGTATGTAACAGGATGTACTTTCTGATCTCCACTTGATAAAGCCTAAGGGCGAAACGCGTTGTGGTTTTTTAAACTATATTGTTTTAAATAAAGGTATTTTGGCCACTTTCTTACTGTGAGTTAGCCATCTTACTTTTCATTACTATTATTATTTTACTTTTTTATTACTACCATCATTTTATCCGGCACAGAAGTATTTTTACTTTCCAGTGAGGATATTACTCCCAAGAATCCTAGGTGGGGATTATACCACTCAAGCTGTATTCATTGAACAGTCAGTCTGTTCAACTAAATGTGAGTAACCACTTGGTTTTTTTATCTTCTCACCTCTGGCATTTTATACTTTGAGCACCATTGTTGTTCCTGCTTTTATTTCCACATATGGTCCCCTAATCAAGAAAGAATACTAAGACCTCACGTATCCCATAAGTGGGGATTATACCACTGTACGTTATCAACACTAGAGCTAAGTCCATAGCTCTTGAAAACGTGAGTAGGACCATATACTCTTTTATTACTTCTACCCCTTTCGGGACATACTATACCATCAGTTGTTATTTTCTCATTTCATATGATGTACAAAGACGCATCTACACCACTCTGAAGAATCCCCCACTACAAAAGACTGTATTCACCTCTACAAGATATACCTCGTTGTTTGATTCATCTACCAGTCAGACTATTTATTCTGGACTTCTATTTTGCTTAGTATCTATCATATATATTGTATTCTAGTCTGCCTATTCTGTGCTCTTTTAATTTATGTGGTTTATAGTGGCGCTGCCTTCCTTTCTTTTTTCTGTACCATAATCCTAGCTTTAATCTTAATTTTAAAACATCATGTAATATAAAATATACATTACTCTGAAGCATGCACCAGGGAAAATAATGCCACCTTGGATTTCTATAGACATCCATTTACTTATTGGTATTCAGTCTTATAATTGTAAATAAAATTATATATACCAAACACTGCTAAAACAAGCAGGACCATTCACTAAAGTGAGAACTGTCTGGAATTTAAAGTGAATTCAAAGTGAATATCAAATTCAAGGACAAAGTAGTTTAGTTGCAAAAATCCAAGGCTACTCTACTTCCAGTTTGGCTACTTTTGTATAACATTTTTAAATTCCGTTTGAATTCCCAACAATTCTCACTTTAGTAAATAAATCGAAAATTAACATCACAAATCTGAAGTATTCCATTAAAAAAAAATCTCCTAGAGTGGTTGCATTAAAATAACCAATAAAGGGGAACCCTCTCAAGCGACTCCGGAGTCTCGTCTGCCGACCCGTGGGCAGAATCAGCTCCTGCGGCCTACTCACCTGGCGAATCCCACAGGGGGAGGAAATGTCCGATCCTCCAATCTAAGACCGCTGGGCTACCACAGCCGACCCGTTCCCTCCTCTGGACCGCTGGGGGATATCCCAGGCCCCATTGGGGAAAAAGCAATCGAGAGCATCCTGGGAAGCCAAATTTCATGCCGACTTCGACAGGATCTGTGCAGTGTTCTGGTGCCGGATTGCAGCCTGTGCACAGCATACATAGCCACCTACGACTCCTGCCACACAGCTCAAGACAGAAGTCCTTCCAACAAACAGCTTTACTACTCTAGCACATCACGACACATGCTTGGACAATGCCGTTGTCTCAGCCGCTCGCTCTTCTGGGCTGGGTACTCAGCTGGAGCTAAAAGTTTTTGAAGCACAGGAATTAACATATCCAGATGGAGTGGAAAGACTTGGCAATGGGCATGGAATACAGTGTAAGTTGGTGAAAAAATTTCCTCTAACTCACATAAATCTCAACTGGTATAATAGAGCCCCCATCAAGGCTTAAAATAAATAGTAAATTGCAAGAATACTAGACCATAAATGTACCAGGAAATGAATAGTGAGACAGTAGCCACAAAAAAATCAGCAAAAAACTGATGAGGGAATATACAGGGAATATACAGGAAAAGCGCTACACACAAGAGGGAGACTTGGGCACTGTTAACTAAACAGTGAACCGGTAAAAATTGGAACTTGACAGAGTATAGGCTAAAATACAACACAATTCAAATGCTAATTAATAAAAAGATTTCAAACCATGAATATAGATATTAGTGATGTAGTAATGTATCTTGTTGCAGTAATGTATCAGCTCTCAAGATAACAAACTCCTGTTACTAAATAGAAGGAGCTAAAATAATCCGAGGCTGATATGTTATAACCTATATTTCACAGTGGGAAATGGGTATAAATTCTTCTTCAACAGTATGCAATACCTGACAATGTAGTGGTCTCTTGTGTTGAATGATGTCTTGAAATCTACAAAGTGTGCAAAATAGGAGACATAGTGTTCTCTGTTGACACTAATTGTATAGACACACTAGTTATAAACACTCACAGGCTCCCGGGAATCAAAGGCATATCTGTGGAAATGCAGGAATCCTATCTCTAGATGTAGCAAGAATGAAGTCCCTTTCGATGTTCTCACTTCCAAAGGGTAAGGCCCCAGAGCCGGATGGGTTTTCAAACTATTATTATTAGTAGTTCGGACCTATACTGGCGCCGTGACTAGCTACTTTTTTTAATGAGGCCACCACAAATGGGTCACTACCATCAGACATCTTATGAGCACAGGTAGTAACCCTCCCGAAACCTGGTAAACCTCCAATCTGTCCCCAAAATTTCAGACCAATATCCCTCTTAAACTCAGAGGCGAAGATCTTCGCAAAATTCTTTGCACTCAGGCTGCAACCGATACTACCGACCATCATTCATAATGATCAGATGGGATCCACTAAAGGGAGACAGGGGGCCGACAGCACGAGAAAGGTTCTCAACATAATGCAAAATCTCAATAACAGACTATCAGGATGTTACCTGAGTTGGGAGTCTGTAGCGCAGATATGTTGCAAATAGACACAGTCCAAGGTGACCAGATAATAAACCACCTGGACGGTGAATCTGTGCATGGGGGCTGTGCAGGATGAAGTTCCAAGTCGCAGTACAGGCAAGGACACAATCAGCAGGATAGTCAAGGGATAGCCGAAGTCAAAGGATGCCAGAGGTCAGGATTACTGAAGTGTAGCCGAAGTCAAGGGATGCCAGAGGTCAGGATAAACCAAGTCAGAAGCCGGGGTCAAATTGGAGTAGGAGATCAAGAGACTGGAGCACATGAACTAAACACACAACAGTATAAAATTCTTGATAATGTTCCCAGGGCGAGGCAGTGCTGATGACTGAGCAATCTCAGGTGAAGCACAGCAATAGATGAAGTCCAGCCCCCAGTGCTGCAGACAAGCCAAAATGAACAGGACTAGAATAAATCCAAGGACTAGGATCTGCTGTGGTTCAAGGGTAGATAGCAGGCTCAGAACAGCAAAGTACCCAGGTTAAAACCGCCTGTTGGGTACTTCTGGGGCAACCACGTCTTGCCGTGTAGATGTCACGGTGAGAACCCTGACACAGACAAAAGACGATCCTACTATCTTTAGACGCGGAAAAGGCCTTTGATAGGCTACATTGGGGGTTTCTAACCGCTGTTTTGAGAAAATTCTGGTTGGCATATTTTTATCCGCAGTCAAAGCATTATATTCTGCACCTGCAGCAAATGTACTCAATGCTGGCTTTCTATCAGAATGCTTCAGTATTACTAACAGGACCAGACAGGGGTGGCCATTATCCCCTCTCGTATACATTATGGCGCTGGAACCTATTGCAGAGGTAATCCAGGCAAACTATTTTATCCATGGGTTAACTATAGGATCTAGGGAATACAAAAGTAATCTGTTCGCGGATGACATACTGTTGACGTTGACACAACCCCACATCTCACTGCCAAACCTCCTAAAAGAGATTGATGAATATAGCTTCCACTCGTATTATAAACTAAGCGTTACCAAAACGCAAGTGCCAAGTCTACACCTAGATCGCAGTGAATCCCTCAAACAAAACTTTACCTTCAATTGGAGGGTGAATCACGTCACCTTTTTGGGGATCCACATAACCAGACTACCACGTGACCTCTTAGATCAGAACTATGGTAAACTATTGAAAGAAATAACTAACTTTGAAATCCTGAGAGGGGGGTTTCTGTCATGGCATGGTAGAGTTGCTGCTTTTAAAATGTTATTATTACCTAAGTATCAGTATCTTCTACGCACATAACAGATCCCACTACCGAAACAGTATACCACGACAATGCAAAAAGCAGTGACCAAATTCGTATGGGCAGACAAGCAGGCCAGGGTGGCAACATCCATTCTCCAACTCCCCTTTTCCAAAGGGGGCTTAAGCTTACCCAATTTAAAAACCTATCACGATGCCGCAATATTAGCTTCTGTAATCTCAACTCATAAAATGAGGGAAATCCCTCAGTGGGTGGAGATGGAATCCTGCTGGTAACATAGACATGGGATATACCTCTTGTTCTGGGTCCCAAAACAAGCAAGACCGAAAAACCTGGAGCTCCTTGACAGCACAAAATTGACTCTGAAAAACGTAGGACAAATACTATAAACACCTGACTGGACGTGAAACGTATTCAATGGCCGCTCCCATTCAAAGTCTACACATTACTAATTCCTTGTTCCACAATGCTACATGGCATCGGCATGGATGCACCCATCTGCATCACTTATACGACAACATTTCTTTAAAGTCATTCCCTGACCTCCAAACCCAGTTCAAATTTCCTAACAGGGCCCTCCTCTCCTACCTTCAAATAAAATCCACTCTAACTCCCAGTTATAGTAACACAGCCAAATATTTCAAAGAAAGAGAGCATGTGCGTCTATCCCAATGCCCAGAAGAAAGCACTATCACTGATATACAATGATCTCATAGCGTCTAATATAACACCACCTTATGTATTTATGAAAGAGTGGCACAAAGATCTTAATACGGAGTTCACTGATACACAATGGCAAGAGGCATTTCTGGCCCACAGGGTAACACAGCGTGCATGTCACACATAGAATTAATAAGAAAACGTCAACACAGGTGGTACTATGTGCCAGAGAGGCTGGCGTGCATGACACGGTGGGCATGGAATGAACAAGTCAAAAACCAACTAGACCTTTATCATAATTACCTCTGCGACATGAGGAAATACCATAGGGTGGCAAACACTTGACCCATAGGACTGCCCACGGGGATCAGACCTTGACCAGAAAAGGACATAAAGAAACATAACTGGTAGCTCTTGACAGCACAGTTCCATGAAGTAAGCCAAGTGAGGTATCTTAGCTCAATGTGGTTGTATACCTTTCTGGTGTATGTCCCTGTAGGATATCTTTGAATATCACCTGACTATACCTGATATGCGTTTGCTAGCTACATACTATGAGTTTGTTAGCTACATAAAGTTCACTACATAATGCCTGTTTGTTAACTCTATGCAGACATATAAAGTCACTTGTGACAATGTATGAAAGTGTAAAACAGTCATTGATTGATTCATATTGCTATGTGTATATGATCGTACTTTGTGGAAAATTGTCTATTGTACCCCCCTGTATACCTCTACCCTTTATATTTTTGTTCACAACTTATACAAAACAATAAAAATTGTCAAATTGAAAAAAAAGGAAACATGTAAAGTAATGCACAGTGATACCCAAACATGCCAATTTAAAAAATGGTGTAAAAACTTGTTTGAAAATATTTAAAAAATAATAATAAAGAGAGATTTGCTGAAGGAAAAAAACTAAACAAAACAAAACAAAAAAAACTATTAAGTATATGTGGCTTATTTAACAGAGAAGCACCAAGTAAAAAGTTATCAATTTTGGGCACGATAAGGGAATCTTAAATATAAATGACTGAATGTTTTAGAATAGCTATCAATTCCAAATGTTAAGACCATAAAAGTGGTCTCATAACCTGCAATAGTTGAAATTGAACAATTATTTTAGATTGCACCTACTGTCCTCATATTTCAAACGTATTATGTTAGAATTAATTATTTGCCTTATTTTATCTATTGTACTGTGTTGCAAAATATGTTGGTGCCATATTTATCATTGGATTTGTAATTGTTAGTAACAAATCAATGTGCAAGACATATCAACCACTGAGAGACCATTGAGAGTCTGATGTGAGTAATAACACAGTTGCAATAAAGTGCTGCCCATCAGGCTTGCTGGTACCTGCAGAAGATAAAATGTCCTGTTGGTCCACTCAGTGTCCTCCCAATGAATAAAATATATAGAGGCTGGTTGTATGGTGACATGAGAGCCAGCATTAAAGCATGTTTCAATGTAAATTCAAGTATCATAATGTCCTCCTTATTAGGCAGTAAACTGAATTATCCTGTAATCACCAGACTGACATGAAGGAGCCTCTAACAACAACACAGTTTGTCAAAAACACTCACTTGTTTTTACCCCTTTTATGGTTTTGTTACTATTTGTTAGCATTTTGATGTGTCAATTATAGTAATAACTTCCAATTGAGGTATTACTTTTAAGACACCCTATAGCCTCCATTGCCACAAGGCCATCGAGGTCATGACCTGAGAGTGGCAGGCAGGAGGGGGCGGCATGACCAGGGGGGAGATCTAAGATCTCCCTCACCGGCCAGCACATTGTCCTCATATCTGGCTGAGTGTGAGATTTCCCTGGTCAGCCTCGGCAGGACTGGCACTGAATAGAGAGATGCACATGCTCCTTGCTCTCCCTCTCCTCTGCACTGTATTAAAGCGTTGCTGTGGGTTTCCTGGCACCAACCAGAAGAAGCTGTCTGATCCTACAGAGGCTCTAGTGGGTTGACAGGTGCTGTAGTGTAGTGGTGTGCACCGTCATCCCACTATAGCCCCTTAAATCCCCACTACAGCCCCTGTCACCCAACTATACCCACTATCGACCCTACAATAGTCCCTTTCCACCCACTACAGCTCTTATTCTCTCACTGCCGTCCCTGGGACCCCTCTACGGTCCCTGTCACCCCATTATACCTACAATAGTCCCTTTTCTCCCACCACAGCCACTATTCTCTCGAATACAGCCTCTATTCCCCCACTATAGCCCTGTCACCCCACCATGCCCACTATCTGTCCCACAATAGTCCCTATCCTCCCACTACATTCTCTATTTCCACACTTCAACCCCTATATCCACTACCTCCCTAAATAGCATATATATATATATATTACTTAAAAAAAATCTTATGCTACTTGGGTGGTATATTTATTCCTTATTCTTGGGTCCTCTTATTCTTATTCTGCGCAGTATCTTAGCTGTACCTAGAACTGCACTCTTCTGGACAGCAATCTACAATGTCTCACCTGGAATCTGTTGAACTCACTCCCCCCACTTGAGAGTCACAGTCCCGAGTGCTCCTATCACAACTGGGACTACTACTGCCTTAATTTTCCACATCCTTTCTAGCTCTTTTTTCAGTCCTTGTTATTTGTCCATCTTCCTTCTTCCTAATGTTATAGTCACTGGGTATTGCCACATCCACCAGTACTGCAGTCTTCCGTTCCTTGTCTGCCACCACAATGTCAGGTTGGTTGGTCGGTACTTGCTTGTCCATCTGGATCTGAAACGCCCACAGGATCTTAGCCCTGTCATTTTCAACTACTCTTTGTGGTAGCTCCCATCTGGACTTAGTCAGGCCCAGCACATACTGATACTCGAAAAATTTGAATATCGTGCAAAAGTTCATTTATTTCAGTAATGCAACGTAAAAGGGGAAACTAATATATGAGACACATTACATGCAAAGCAAGATAGTTCAAGCTGTGATTTGTCATAAGTGTGATGATTATGGCTTACAGCTCTTGAAACCCCCTAATCCACAATCTCAGTAAATTAGAATATTGTGAAAAGGTGCAATATTCTAGGCTCAGTGTCCCACTCTAAGTAAGCCATAACACCTGCAAAGGGTTTCTGAGCCTTTAAATGGTCTCTCAGTCTGGTTCACTAGGAATCACAATCATGGGGAAGACTGCTGACCTGACAGTTGTGCAGAAATCCATCATTGACACCCTCCATAAGCAGGGAAAGCCTCAAAAGGTAATTGCGAAGGAAGTTGGATGTTCCCAAAGTGCTGTAACAAAGCATATTAATAGAAAGTTATGAAGAAAAGTGTAGAAGAAAAAGGTGCACAAACAGCATGGATGACCGCAGCCTGGAGAGGATTGTCAGGAAAAGGCCATTCAAAAGTGTTGGGGACTTTCACAAGGAGTGGACTGAGGCTGGAGTCAGTGCATCAAGAGCCACCACACACAGACAGATCCTGGACATGGGCATCACATGTCATATTCCTCTTGTCAAGCGGCTCCTGAACAACAAACAATGTCAGAAGCGTCTTACCTGGGCTAAAGAAAAACAGACCTGGTCTGTTGCTCAGTGGTCCAAAGTCCTCTTTTCTGATTAAAGCAACTTTTGCATCTCATTTGGAAACCATGAACCCAGAGTCTGGAGGAAGAATGGAGAGGCACACACTGCAAGATGCTTGAAGTCCAGTGTGAAGTTTCCACAGTCTGTGTTGATTTGGGGAGCCATGTCATCTGCTGGTGCTGGTCCACTGTGCTTCATTAAGTCCAGGGTCAACGCAGCCGTCTACCAGGAGATTTTGGAGCACTTCATGCTTCCTTCCGCAGACGAGCTTTATGGGGATGTTGACTTCATTTTCCAGCAGGACCTGCCCACACTGCCAAAAGCACAAAAGCCTGGTTCAATGACTGTGGGATTACTGTGCTTGATTGGCCAGCAAACTCACCTGACCTGAACCCCATAGAGAATCTATGGGGCATTGCCAAGAGAAAGATGAGAGACATGAGATCGAACAATGCAGAAGAGCTGAAGGCCGCTATTGAAGCATCCTGGTCTTCCATAACACCTCAGCAGTGCCACAGGCTGATAGCTTCCATGCCACCGCATTGAGGCAGTAATTGCTGCAAAAGGGGCCCAAACCAAGTACTGAGTCCATATGCATGCTTATACTTTTCAGAGGTCCGATATTGTTCTATGTACACTCCTTGTTTTATTGATTGCATGTAATATTCTAATTTACTGAGATTGTGGATTTGGATTTTTCATGAGCTGTAAGCCATAATTATCGCACTTTTGACAAATCACAGCTTGAACTATCTTGCTTTGCATGTAATGCTTCTATGTCATATATTAGTTTCCTCTTTTACGTTGCATTATTGAAATAAATGAACTTTTGCACGATATTCAAATTTTTCGAGTATCACCTGTAATCTGTGCCGATGTTTCGGTACACAAATTGTTGTGCTGTGTATGCTGTTCCTGCTAACATCTTGCAACAGACCACTATGTGCTGGATTCTCTCAGAGGCCTCTTTGCACAGTCTGCACTTTGGGTCTTGCCTGGTGTGGTAGAACCCCACTTCTATTGATCTGGTGCCGAGTGACTGTTCCTGTGCTGCTAGGATTAATGCCTCAGTGCTGTCTTTAAGTTCTTCCTTTTCCAACCACTGGTAAACTTTTGTCATGTGGGCCACATCCACTATTTGCCAGTGCACCCCATGGAGAGGTTTGTCTTGCCATGGAACCTCCTCCTTTTCTCCATCCTCTATCTGTTGAAGTCTCATGCATTTACTTAACAGTTCATCTTTGGGAGGTATCTTCGTGAAGTACTTGTGAATGCTCTGTGTTTCATCCAGGACTGGGCCTTAACACTCATCAGGACCTGACCTCCTTACTTCCTGCTAGTGCACAGTCTCTGGGTGCTGGATTTCAGGTGAATCCATTCATTCATAGTGAGTCATTTCCAGGTATTGACATCCATGGTGATTATTCTAGCTGGGTACCTAACGACCTTTAGGGCATATGTGTTGATGGCTTGGATCTTGTTCTTGCCATTGACCTGGCACTTTAAGACCTGTACTAATACTTGGATGTTGCTATCCTCCTTGTCTGTTCCTCCGTGTATTTGTGGCACCCCCAGGTACCTGCAGCTGTTCTCTCCATCATAGAATTGGCCTTCTGGTACTTGAACTCCCTCTGTCTGATCATCTTCCCTCTTTTTTCTATCATCTGCCCACACTTATTTAGTCCCAGCAACATTCCAATGTCCTTGCTGAATATCCAAGTTAGCTGGATCAGTGAGTCAATGTCCCGTTCATTCTTGAATGCAAACCATTCCTGGATGCAAAGAGATATATATTACAATGAAACCAAGAGGGCTGCACTCACCTGAACATGCATACATTATAGAATGCTGCTGGGGACAAAATACACAAAATACAAGACCCAGCGCACTCACTTATTCACTAAACAATGATTTCAAATCTTAGAGATTGAAATAGGTTTATTTAAAAACACCTCACCTAGGCAAAAATTAATGGGGGTTTAGTTACATTATATGATCATATATTGCATAAGCCTGCCACAACGTCAATGTACCCCATTGTTGGCAGGTCCTACTCTAGCAGCCTAATGCTTGCTCTTATGAGATTAATCCATTTACTTGGGATATACTTCCTTACTGGGACTCTCTGCAAGTCAAGGCTAAATAGGGTCCTGGAATGAGGCACCTGTGACAGGGAGGGGTGCAAAACCAAGGAGTTGGCCTGGACTCCCAAATAAATAAATGAAACCAAGAGGGCTGCACTCACCTGAACATGCATATATTATAGGGTGCTGCTGGGGCCAAAATACAAGATCCAGCACACTCGCTTATTCACTAAACAATTATGTATGTGTGTGTGTATGGCTCAGTGGGTGTATTCAGGAGGCAGCAAAGAGGGTAAATAGCTCCTAAAGGTATTTTTCATTTGCGATTTTATATTTTCATTCATATTTCTGGTTTAATATTATTTTTTCTGTTTTTTAATAATTTATGCTCATTTTAATGCAGGGGTTCTCAACCCAGTCCTCAGGACCCCCTACCAGTCCAGGATTTGGGGATTACCTGGGTGTGTCTCAGGTGTTTAGAAAAAGGGAAAAAAAACACCTTAGACTCTAAGGTGTTTTTTTTTCTTCTTTTTCTAAACACCTGAGACACACCCAGGTAATCTCTAAACCCTGGACTGGTAGGGGGTCCTGAGGACTAACGTTGAGAACCCCTGTTTTAATGGAATGTGCTTTGCTAGCTAATCTTAAGAATTGTGTTATAAGTTAAAAAGAAACAAAATACCACGGCTTTACATGAATTATGTTACATTAGATTAATATAGATTGCCATTGCTCTATTTTTTTGTTTAGGGTGATGGCTGCTGGAATGCAGATTGAACGACAAGAACAAATCATAGCAAGGTCTAAAATGATTTTTCACCATAGGGATCCTGGTAATGAGGGAACTGGCAAGAAGTATGTAATACATTATCCTGTAAAAAACAATAATGGTGTTTTGTTTTTTTAATCTCTTTTTGATGAAAAATATTTAAAGGCTAAGCAAAGTAACTGATATTTATTTATTTATAAAATATTTTACCAGTAAGGATACATTGAGATTTCTCTTATTTTCAAGTATGTCCTGGGTATGAGTCAAATGCAGATTGACTAAGTGACATAAACTAATGCAGCAGCCAATAAACCTTGTAATCAATGGCGTACATACCAGGGTCGCAGGGGTCGCGGCCGCCCCTGCGTCCCGGTATGTACCCACCTCGGGGCCCCCCCGAGGCTGGCCCTGCTGTCACCAGGCAGACTGTCAGTGTGGCCGGCGCGCGAGGGAGCACTATCCTTTGTGTGCTTCCTCTTCAGCTCCCTGAAGAGGAAGCACACAAAGGAGAGTGCTCCCTCGCGCGCCGGCCACCCAGACAGTCCGCCCGCCCGCCCGCCCGCGCAGCAGCACCACTGGACCTCAGGGAATCCCCCCAGTACTCCAAAAGGTAAGGAGGCTGGGGGGACTAAATAAAAAAAAAAAATGTGTGTGTGTTTGTTAATGTGTGTGTGTTAGAGTGTGCTAGTGTGTGTGTCTGTTAGTGTTTGTGTTAGTGTGTGTGTTAGAGTGTGTTAGTGTGTGTTTGGCAGTGAAAGTGTATGTTTTGTAAGTGAGTGTGTCTCTGTCAGTAAATGTGTGTGTCTGTTAGCTAGTGTGTATGCGTCTGTTCGTGAGAGTGTGTGTCAGCATTTACCTTTCTCCAGCGTCGGACTCCCTTGGCGCTGGGGATCCCTCCGCCTCTCAGCTCTGAATGCACATGCGCGGCAAGAGGTGCGTGCGCATTTAAACCGCCCATAGGAAAGCATTACTCAATGCTTTCCTATGGACGTTCAGTGTCTTCTCACTGTGATTTTCACAGTGAGAATCGCGGAAGCTCCTATAGCAGCTGTCAATGAGACAGCCGAGACAGGCTGGATTAACCCTCAGTGAAACATAGCCGTTTCTCTGAAACTGCTATGTTTTCAGCTGCAGGGTTAAAACTAGAGGGACCTGGCACCTAGACCACTTAATTGAGCTGATATGATCTGGGTGTCTGTAGTGGTCCTTTAAGTGTGTGTGCATACCGCGGTTGCGGGGTCGCAGCCCTGCAACCCCTGCGACCAGGTGCCCGCCGCCAGTTCTTGCGTCCCTGACCCGCTCTGAGTAAGCGCGGGGGGGGCCCACGGATCAATTTTTGCACCGGGGCCCCATGGGTCATGTGTACACCACTGCTTGTAATATAGCTTTAATGTCTCCTGTGGTAATTTGTCTATACAATGTACCAAAAAACATTGGAAACAATCCATAATTATGGGGTAGTTAAAGTCTTGACTCAGGAGTTACTTGTAATTAATTATTTAAATTAGGTAATGGAAACAATATGTTCTTAATGTTTTGAGAATAAGTCACAATTATTAGCCAGAAAATGAGCGACTAAAAATAAATCAATGTTAGTCTCCAGCTTGTAATAAAATATTTTTTTTCATTTTCCTATGAAAGCAGTTTTATTTCTTTTTTGAATATTACTAAAATGTGTCTTGTATGTTTTTCCAAATATTCAGATTTTGTTTTAATTGCAGCATTCATCTGATACACAAAGCGGCAGAACGAATGTCCAAGGATGGTCTTACTTCTTTATCTTATAATATAATTGTACGTGTTGAACATAAACTTTTTACCAAAATCACTGTTGACATTGGAGCACCACAAGATGTCCCTGAAGTGAATACACAAGGGTTGACAGAAAGCCAGTCTCCATCTACCTATAATTCAGTATTTTGAGAATATTGGCTATGACGTCTGTACCACTCATTTCCCCAAATTTCCAATTTTTATAATCTGACTTTAAATAAGCCGTGAAGAAAATACTTTTGAAAAATACAGCGCAAAGAAACATCATTGACACCATTTTGTTAGTCACACTGTTGTTAGCCCCAATTCTTTTACAGTGCCTTTCTGGAGCCTGCAAGCAAATTACATTAGTATTTACTAATATCTGCAAGCCAGACATTGGTAAGAAAACCCAGAATTGCAGCATCTTTATTTCATTGGTAAAAAGCAACAACATTTTAAATGGTATAATTGCTAATGTCTGCAAGATACATTGTGTTAGCAAAATTGCTAGCAGTTACCCAGACCAATGGTTTACATTTCTCTACACAGTGACAGCAAGATATAATTTATTTTTTTATTTATAATTTAATGTTGCCAAGCATTGGAAGGTTACCACATTAAAATACATGTGCTTCAAACGACTATTATAATTTCTTATGTGTCTCATTTCATGAATTTTGGATACTATGATTCCCATAAAAGTGATTGTAAACATAACAATATTTACATATGTTTTCATTAAAGAAAAAAATATTTAAACATGTTAGTCTTCTTTTTTTCCTTATGATTACCAATATTATAATTTGCATATGGTTACATGGCGCAGTACAATAAGTGGAATTTGTGTAGCACTAATTACATTAGGAGTAGTACAATGTACTGTATAGCAGCTCTGGATGACGAGCAGCCTGAACATGAACACAGCACCAGTACGCAGTTTTCAAATATTGTCTTGGTACCCTTATGCCACCGTCTCTTTTCTGCAAGATTCACTTGCCAATTCCCAGAGTGAGCATACCGACTACCAAGATGAGCGATCTCGACACCGTTCAGGAGGGTACTAGTCTAGTCAGAATATGTCTCAAGCAAAGTCTGCCCAGCCACGAAGCAGAAACCGACTCACCTGAGACAACAACCAGAGAAACTAATTCCTCCATCACAGTGACAATTGAGGAGACCACCAGTAACCTTGACCAGGTAACTGGATCTGATCTTGATATCAGTCCCACAAAGGACAATGCAGTTCTTGCTCCAACGGACAATACTGAATCTATAGAATCAGAAGTTCCAATTTCTACACCTCTTTCTGAGTCATCTAATACTGGAGATTCGAAACTGGGAGGGTCACCTATAAAGGTTGCTTCAGGTGATGCAATTGAAGACAAGGCTGGGCCACTGAAGTTGGAAGCTAATCTCGTAGAAGATGATCCTCCTGTCAAAAGGCCACCACGTAGGAAACGTGGTAAACGACATACTTCTTCCAAAACACTGTCTGAGAAGGCTGAGAAACTTAAGATGGAAGCTTCAGAGCAATCAGTGGAAGAGGAAGTTATCGTCCCAAAGGCAGCTCACGACTTTGATGTGGAGAGGTTGGATGATACCAATTCTAACCCTTCTGCCTCTGGGGGTTCGAGGATTGGCACCTCTCTTGCAACCACAACTGTAAAAGATGAGTTGACACGAAGTAAAGAAGACTGTCATCCTCAAGTGGAATTCAAAGAGTCAGACTTGGTGCAACGTGACAAACATGAAATGGATCAAGCCCAAGAAAAGGATCTAAATGAGACAGGGCTTGTTCAGAACCCACAGTCTGAAGAAGAATCTACAGTTATAGGCAAGACTAACCCTGTTTCTTCAAAAAGGTCGGTTGGTAATGAAGGTTCCGCGCTTGAAGAACCGCCTAACCTTTAACAAGTATTAAAGGAAGACGTTTCTTCAGTTCAGTGTTTTTCTATGCCACTTAATGAACTACCTCAAGCTGAGCACATTAACGAAGAGAATGATCTAAGTGACCAGGTATCTCTATCTGTTGCAGAATTTTATCAGTTTGAGAGAGAGTCGTCCCTGCTTTGGCCGGCCTCATGCTCCGAGATATTGGGGGAGCCGTCCCTTGATGCATTTCTGCGGTCTGAAGAGGAGGGTTCGCGGAGTGCTCCTGATCCTGTACGCGTTAATCTAGGGGATTCTCCTCGATTGATTCCAGTGGTACATACCCAAGATAACTCAGAGACTGTTCTCCTTTCTACAGAAGTTGCATTGCAATCTTTATTCCGAGGATCTTACAAGCCAGAAACCAAGTCAGACCCAGGACCTCTGAGTGATGCTCCTGTTTCTGGCGATAGCCCCAGGTCTAGTAGGATGACACGTTTGTCAATCACTGATAATGAGAGTTCCTTATCGTATGTATCCTTGATTTCTGTTTACGTGTCTACCCTCCTGGTGTATCATGATTCTCTATGGTCCTTACTGTTCTATGCTTCTACCCTGCCTCGTTGGTTTCTTCCTTGGGACTTTCCATTTATCATTCCTCCTGAGCCTCCTCCTTGTTTTCCTCACTTGGTTGGGTGACCCGGGTTCTCTTCTGTCACCTGTAGGGGGTCTTGGAGGTTTAGAGCGCCAGGAGTCGCTCCTTAAGGGGGGGTACTGTAACGACACTCCTTAGTTAATATGCCCTTGTGCAGTACTCACACTCACCACTGTTTCTGTTTGGCACTGTTTCTCATTTCTTTTCGTTAAGCACTTCACCTGGCCCTTGTTTAGCACCTATATATTCTGGTTTCTCCCCTCACTCCCTGCCAGATCATTGTCTCTTGTCTCCTGTTTCCCTGGTTCCTGGTTCCCTGTGATTCTGGCTCCTGGCTCATTGATCCTGCATACTGTTCTTTTGTCCTGTGTCCTGCGTCTCCTGGTCTTTGTCCTGTGTCCTCCTGATCCTGCGTCCTCCTGGTCCTTCGTTCCTGTGCCCTCCGATACTGTGTTCTGGTTCCGTGTTCTCTGCCTTATCACCAGTGATCCTGACCCTGCATCCTTGTTCATTTATTCTGCTTCTGACCTTGATTCCTGGTGACAGTATATTAGTCTTGTGACTCTGGATTTGTGCCCTACCTACTACTTGTGGTAACTGCACAATCCTGCCTTTATACCAAAGGACTGTTTCTGTATACGTTGCCTGCACTATTCGTGCTTATCCTGATTTATTGTATATATTTTGTGGCATTGTATATATATTGTTATGTCTTTTAGTTCTCTGTAATATATATATCTCTTGATTTAACCTATTCATTTGTGTCTTGCATTTATTTCTTTGCTGTATTGGTTCCCACATTTAAAGGGACAGTGTTGTTCCAGGGCAGCACCTCTTCATGTCATTACCTATAATTTGGGTTAATTTCTAAAGACACCATATGGTCACTTCTCACTTGAGCTGTGAATACAATCAACAATCTTTTTTTTCACCTCTTGATTGGACGATGACGATATCATGGCAAACAAAGCTGCTTATTTGCCTGCCAAAAAAATCAGCTTCTCCATTTCCTTCCCCTTTTATATGCACCACAGAAAAACTTGAGAATTACGAAGCAAATCAAATGGCTCAATTCAGTGTCTATTTCTACTGCTTCAAGATTCTTCCATATGCCGTTATGCAGGTACAGAATTCTGACAAGTCGCCAATCGACCAAAATTTGGATCAATCACAATTTGGATGAACCTGAATGCACAAGTCCAGTTATAGGTTTCTCCTTATAACACCCAGACCTTTGTTATACCTCTTTATTTTACTCAGGTCTGCCTGTTGTATAAGGGGTATCTGTGCTAATGCATATGTGCTATCGATTGAATAAACCAAATCAAATAGTGTAATTTAATATGTATTCATAGAATACAAGGAAAAGGATAAACTACCACAGACATGAAGTAGGAAGGTGTAAAATGGGCGCTTAAAAATAGGTATCCGAAACTTCAATCTAATAGCAGCTACAATACTGATGTGGAAATCTCTCCTATCCACCAAATAATAAATTCTGTGAGGTAAGAAAACTGGAAGGTACAATCCAACACCAAGCTCGTAGGTGGAGCGCTAAATAAAATACACTTACCCCTAGTTTACAACTTAGGGTAAATTCCAGTCCAATATGAACATAGGGAATAAAACTGAGAAAAAGATCTTACGGTGTAGTATGTATGACACTTAAAATTAACAGGTGAATGTATAAAAACAAACCCACAAAAATAGAGCCAAGCGTAGGCTCAAATCACAACCACTTTGGTGTATTAACCCCTTAGTGACCAGTTTTTAAAATTTTAAAGGACCAGGGCTGTTTTTACATTTCTCCGGTGTTTGTGTTTAGCTGTAATTTTCCTCTTACTGTATCCGCACATATTATATACCGTTTTTCTCACCATTAAATGTTCTTTCTAAAGATACCATTATTTTCATCATATCATATAATTTACTATAAAAAATTGATAAAATATCATAAAACATTTTTTTTAAACAAACTTTTTTCTAACTTTGACCTCCAAAATCTGTTACGCATCTACAATCGCCAAAAAACACCCGTGCTAAATAGTTTCTAAGTTTTGGCCTGAGTTTACAAACATCCAATGTTCTCACATGTTCTTAGCTTTTTTTTGCAAGTTATAGGGCAATAAGTACAAGTAGTGACTTTGTAACACTGTTATCTGTCATAAATCTCTGAATCACACCTCACATGTACACATTTTTTTTAAAAATAGACAACCCAGGGTATTCAATATGGGGTTTGTCCAGTCTTTTGTAGTTGCCACTTAGTCACAAACACTGGCCAAAGTTAGCTTTTATATTTGTTTGTGTGTTAAAAATGCAAAAAACAACTATGAACGCTAATTTTGGCCAGTGTTTGTGACTAAGTGGCTACTAAAAAAGACTGAACATACCCCATTTGCAATACCTTGGTTTTCCATACGCTCTCAAAGTCAACATAATCAATCTGGCAAATTTCAATGTATAAAAAAGAAACATCAAGCCTTATATTTGACCCTGTAACTTTCAAAAACACTATAAAACCTGTACATGGGGTGAATGTTTACATGGTGTGTTCAATAAAAACATGGCAACATTTCTTTGTGTGTTATTAGTTTAAGCAGACTGTGATTGTCTATTGTTGTGACTTAGATGATGATCAGAT